GTTCCAGGCAGAGGATTACATTTTTTAAAAAATATTTTATTTTTTTTATTTTATGTGTATGAGTGTATTGCCCTGCAGGTATTTGAGTGCACCTGTGTCATGCAATGCCACGGAGGTCAGAGAAGAGGGCTGGATTCCCCTGGAATGGGAGTTAAGGACGGTTCGTAGCCACCATGTGGGTGCTGGGAATCAAATCTGGGTCCTCTGCAAGAGCAGTCAGTGCTCTTAACCGCTGAGCCATCTCTCCAGCCCTGCTACCTTATTTTATGAGACAGAGTCTCTCACTGATCCTAGAGCTCACCATTTCAGCTAGACTTGTTGGTCAGTGAGCTCTAGGGATACACCTGTCTCCACCCCATACTCTCAGCACTGGGGTTATGGGTGTGAACCACAACACCTGACTTTTATGTGGATGCTGGGGATCTGAACTCGGGTCCTCATGTTTGTGTGGCAAGCACTCTACTCACTGAACCATCTTCCCAGCCTAGTGGCAACTTTTTATAGCATCCTGTATCTTGCTCCCCACCAAGCCTTAACAATTGCTCTATATCAACAATTTGGAGTCTTATTTTTTTGTAATGACTGGACAATGCCCCTCTTCACGGGTATTCCATGTCCATGACTTCCTACTTGCACCCAAAGACATCGTTATCAGTCTTGTGCTACTAGTAACACCTACTGCTACGGGCAGTTCTCTGTAAGGTTAGTTTCTGGAAGTAGGTCAAAGCCGTGTGCATGTAAAACCAGGCTATATGCTGCCAAGTTGACTCCTAAGAAGATGTTCCAGTTGGCACTCACTCTGGACAGCATGTGGGACTTCCTGGTCTCTGGACCATACAGGGAATCAAACATTTTGTTCTTTGTCGAGCTGTTTTCTTTTTTTAAATATATTTTTTATGTGTATGAGTGTATTGTTTGCATGTAGGTAGGTGCACCTGTGTCATGAAATGCCTATGGAGGTGAGAAGAGGGTGTTGGATTTCCTGGAACTGGAGCTACAAGCTGTTAGCTGCCATGTGGGTGCTGGAAACTGAACCCACGTCCTCTGCAAGAGTAGCCAGTACTCTTAAGCACTGAGCCATCTTTCCAGCTCCTTGAGCTGTTTTCTTAACAATAAAATTCTGTGTATTAAGCAACTGGTCCAGACAGAAGTTGGCCAGTGGGTTCCTACGCCCATCAGCCCCTTTCCAGGCCCTTCCTCTAAGGCCTATGGGCCAGGGATCCACTGATGTCTGGCAGGAACAGAGGAACCACCATACAACTAACACCCTGTCTCTGGTCCTCACCCCTCCATTCTGGTAAGAGCTGCCTGGAGGTGAGGGTATCCTATTCTTAGTTCAGGTCATCACCAGGCTGATGGCCCTCAGTGAGTAAAGCTTTCCAAGCCCTGGCTCCAAGCTGTGAATGGCTATTGTGGGTCCCTGCTGCTCATCATGGGGACAGAGTGAGAAAGCTGTATGCTAAGAGAATGGATGCTTTCGTGGCTGGGTCTGGGCCCACTCAGGCAGAGCCTCATCTGCTGCCCAGCCTGTCTCCTGAAGGTAGTTGTGAGTCCTCCATCTTCTAAGAATTTAAAGGCCCCAGCTCCAGGCTATCCAGCCCCAGGCCAGGCCAAGCCCTCTGGCCTGCCCTCACCATGGCCTGTCCCTCTCCTAGGAGTGTATGTGGAGGTGTGGTCTATAGTGTGAGTTTCTATTGCCAATGCTTAGGGTGTTGACCAGCTCAATGGTACCTAAATATGGTGAGGTGGGGAGTTAAGAATTAGAAGGGGCAAAGAGAGAGCTCTAAACTAGAGGGCACAACCTTAGGCATGTATTTACCCACCTGGGCCTCCAGTGACCTGCAGGAAAGTCGGATAGATCTAACCGGGGGTCTCCAACCTTTGGACACTGTGACAGAGTTGCAGTGTGACATCTAAAATGTGTAGGGTTGCATTCATTGGTCTCCTGGAACACTAGCAGCCCAGAGTTCCTGGAGGGACTCACAAGGTCTCTTTGACTACTGGCAGCCACATGACCATCCTGAATCTCTCTTCATCTATAAGATAGCAGGGGACTGAACTCCTTCCGGCTCTAGCTGGTGACCCCAATGAGTTCAGAGTCCATGCTAGGCTGTGGTGGTAGTGGCCTCCTTTCTGACCACTGTTGACTTTTCTAGATCAAGGAGGGGCCCAATCTGAAGCCAAGGCTTCAGCAGCCTCTCCCTGGGTCCTGCTGTGGCCAGGCCTGGCTCAGGGCCCGAGGCTGTCCTGTGGCCTGGGGCTGAGGTTGTCCCGCGTGTGCTCTGAGCCTGCTGCATATAGAAGTGTCCCGTGTGGTTCCACTGCTCTGGCAGAAAACCCAGGGAGAAGCTGCCTAGGAACAGCTGCTATCTCCTGTTCTCCACAGAACCACTTGGCTGGAGAGGAGCCCAGGGCTGTCCTGCCAAGCTGTGTGGGCTGGGTGGAAGTAGGGCCAGATGCAGGTCTTTAATGTAGGGGTACTGGGAAACAGGCAGAGCCAGGGCCCAGACCTGCGAAGTGAAGCCCTGGCTGTTTATGGGCACTTGGGGAGGGGGGCAGGAGGGACTCCAGGGTTATCCTAGGGCCTGTCACGTCCTGACGCATGCATGTGTGCCAGCATGAATTTCCTATTTTGGCCGCATACTCAGCTTCTTACAAAGGAAACTGGTGTTCAGTCAGGCTCCACACCAGCCCAGAATAAATGACTCTTAATATTCTCCTCAGACAGTCCTCTAAGCCCCACCCCAAAGACAGTCCTGACGCTAACCCCAGACATCCCTTACGTCCAGCTCCTGGCCCAGGCAGTACCACACAGAAGCCAAGCTACCACCCTCTTGTCCTGGGACATGGCAGATCTCCCTGTTCTGCCTCTTGTCCCCAGTTGCTCTCCATACAGCAGCCAGGGGAACACGAAAACCTGCAGTAAACCATACATTCCCTCTGCTCAGAGTTCTGAAATGGCTCCCATCCCAGAGTCCCCTCCCTTGACTCCTGCCCTTGTCCCCCTTGCTCCTTGCACCTTCACCCCACTGGCTTCCTCACTCTTCCTCAGACATACAAGCATGTGACAAATATGCCCCACCTCAGGGCCTTTGCACTTGCTGTTCCCTTTGTCAGAACCAGTTTCCCTGGGTATTTGCTGCCTTTATACTTCTGCTCAAATTCCTGTCTCAGTAAGGCTTCAAGGGCCACTGTGTTGAAAGCTTGATTTAAAAAGAATTTATTTATTATTCCCATGTCCTGCAATGCCCGTGCAGGTCAGAAGAGGGTGTTGGATTCCCCAGAACTGGAGTTATTGACTGTTGTTAGCTGCCATGTGTGGGCTGGGAACCAAACCTGGGTCCTCTGTAAGAGCAGCCAGTGTATCACTGAGTCATCTCTCCAGCCCCGTTTCCCCGTTTTTGTTTTTGTTTTTGTTTTAAAAACAGGGGTCTTATGGTCCTGAACTTCTAGACTCAAATGATTCCCTTGCCTCAACCAACCCAGTAGCAGAGACTATAGGTACCACCACCTTACCCAGCTAGTGTCACAACTTGAAATTCCAGTCCTTTTCTACCCTAAATTCCCAGGTTCCCTGTCTTCTTTCTTTTCCCTTAAATAATCACCAATTACCAAATCCAACACTTTCCATTTTTATTTTCTTCTTATCTGTTTCCCTCCCCTAGCATCCAGTTATAATTCTTCATCTGTTCACCACCACACCAAAGTGTGGCTCGAAGTAGGAGCTCAGCTTATGTTGTGGAATGTTTCCAGTCACAGCTGCTCTGTGCCTGGACACAGAAGGGAGTGTAAACAGCTTGAGCAGATCAGCCCCCTGCCCCCTGATGCAGCCTTAGAGCAGGACATGATATCCTGTGTGTCCATTCTGGGCACCTGGCAGATCCTGGGGGTCCACTAGAATTCCCAGGCCTTTTGGTCTGACTTTGGGGCTAGAATTCAGCAGAACTGGGGAACCCCCTCCAGCCCTGGGTAGTTTCAAATTTTGCTTCCCCTTCACCTTCTTGCACAGGAGGAAAGAGCAGCTAGCACTAGCCCGCATGCCTAAGTCTACCCTCACCAGCTAGGTGTCCCCTTAATGATGCTTGTGACTCATGGTCTGGGGACCCTTGAGTCAGAACTACCTGGGGAGTTTGTTAGCACACAGCCCCAAGGCCTTCCAGAAACAGCATTTTTCACAGCTGGCATAGCTGGCTAATGGCTGGTAGAGCTGCAGTCCAGGAAACCTGGCAAAGCCCCAGCCAGGTGAGCAGCTTCCTGCCAGGGGCTGCCCAGACCTTCTACGGGCACTCCCCAACACTCACTTTCCTCGCGGTCCCTTCTGCTCCTCAGGTAAGACTCGGACCAAGGACAAGTACCGCGTGGTCTACACGGACCACCAGCGCCTGGAGCTGGAGAAGGAATTCCATTACAGCCGGTACATCACCATCCGGCGCAAGTCAGAGCTGGCCGCTAACTTGGGGCTCACAGAGCGGCAGGTGTGTAGGTTTCCCACCTTGGCTCCAATAGAAAGGCCCAGAATCTGGCTTCCAGACTGCCATGAGACAGACAGAGCTCATGGAGGGAGAACAGGGAGTTGTGTCTCCAGACCACTATCACATTGCCACACCCTCCAATTATTATTATAATATTATCAATATTATAAGTAATATTTAATTTAATATTAATTATTACCACCACCACTCACAGAAAGGGAAAAAGGGATGCAGGGGGCACAGTCAGTGCTGTTCAGATCCAAAGAAAAGGCAGTCATGGGTCACAGGGTCTCTGGAGGAACAGGCCTTGAGAGGCGGGGAGGGAGGTGACAGAGAGGGGCAGGTACCTAAGGCCTAGGGAGAATGTGTTCTGGTCCCTGAGGTCTAGTGACTGGAGCAGCAAGTAAGCCATAAATGTCACCTGCCCCCCTTCCCCTTCTCAGCCAGGTCCCCCCAACACCTTCCACATAACCACTCTACCATCCCACAGGTAAAGATCTGGTTCCAGAACCGGCGGGCCAAGGAGCGCAAAGTGAACAAGAAGAAGCAGCAGCAGCAGCAGCCACCTCCCACACAGCTACCCCTGGCCCTGGATAGCACCCCCACTTCATCAGGGCCACCCCTGGGTAGTCTGTGCCCCAGCAACGCGGGGCTCCTGGGCACTTCCTCCCCAATGCCTGTCAAGGAAGAATTTCTACCCTAGCCCTTTCCATTCTGGGGCTCAGGGACCTAGGGGCTTAGGTTCTGGGCAATAGCTTCCGCTGTTCTGAGTTCTAGGCCTGCTAGCGACCTTTGGGGTCACTGTGGACAAGTCGCCCACCCTCTCCCTGCCTCCCTTTGGCTGGGCTGTGTGATAAGCCTATTCGCCAGGGAACTCTTCCATCTCCTATATACTAGGTCTCAGGATGAGGAGTTCAGTGGGAAGTCTCAATCACCTGGTAACATCTCAAGATCCAGAGGGCTTGATGAGGAGTCAAGACAAGCCTGGGGCCTTACTTCCTCCTCTGGAGCTCCAGAGTAAGGTGGAAGGCTGCTTCATGGAACAGACTGGCCCTAGAGAGAGGAGACAGTATTGTGAAAAGGTGGCCTGTATGTAGTCCACCATGTGAAGGGCAATAATGATATCTGCCTCCTCCTGCAGCCTCACCTCCACCTGACCTATTGACACATGCCTCGGCCCTCCCCAGCCTGGAGGTGGCCACAAAGCCAGCAGGACTGGACCTGAGGGGGAGGCTCAGCAACTGACTGCTGCTCTCAGGATAGAACCTGTCCCCTCCCTAGCACTTCAGGGAGACCTGCAGATGGAGGGGAGGCCTCTCAGGGTAGAAACAGAGTCTGCCTGCTCACGCCCAGCTCCCCACAGGCATCATACCCAGGGAACCCCCAGACACATCCACTGGACCATGTGGAGCTCATAGCTAGTTGGGTTAAGTAGAGTGGACTCTCTTGGATGTGGCTTCAAGAATAATTTTTCCCTCTTTTTAAAGAAAGTGTAAAAACCATACATAGCATTAAAGGAGTTTTTTAAGAAGAATAAATTACCATCATCCTTTCCTATGACCGTGTATTCCCTTCTTGTTCTAAAGGCTCCCAAAAAGGTCGCCTTTAAAACACAGACGATCAAAACAGGACACTGCCAGAACAGGTCTCTGAGCCTGAAGAAAGGCGAGTCCTTGTGAACAGCACCACACTCAGACTATCAGCCTTTCAGACACTTTCAGTTCAGGTTTCCTTCAGCCATTGTCATTCATGCTGCCCCCCAGGTGCCTGGCATGGCTAGGCCTGGGAAACACACAGTCCTGACCCTAGAAGTGCCTGGTCCAGTGGAAAGACTGTCACATGCACAGTGGTGCGCACATAAAAGGATGAGGGTTAGTCAGACCTCTGCTGTGGACCTGGTGGGAAGCAGCATATGTGTGGAGTACACAGCCAGCTCCCTGGTCATCCAGGCAGCCTGGGAGGCTTCCTGGAGGAGGCAGTGTTCAAACTAAGACCTCACAGGACAGTATGTGCTAGTCAGGTCAGGAAGGGAAGAATGGGAAGACAGAACATGAGCAAGGGGAACTTAGAGTACTCTTGTAAGCTTCTGAGAAAAGCTGCTCTTACCTCCCTTCCAGAGGTGGGCAGGAGTCAGCTGCCTGAGATCTTGTCTGCCCAGAGGGCTCTGGTGCCAGCTGCCTACCCCTCTGTTTACTGTTCTGGGAGGTGGCTAGGCCATAAAAGTGTGTGTAGCCTGTCTGCTATCGCCCTTTGCTCCTGGGCCTGGGATAACAGCGCACAGGTGGACCCAGTCCTGGCACAGCAGCCTCTTCTCTCTTGCCACCCACTGAAGAGGCACCAGGGCCCCTCCATGGCAGTTGACACCTGAGTCACTGGAACTAGGTGGTACCAGAAGAGTAGAGTAAGGCAGCTGGAGAGATGGCTCAGTGGTTAAGAGCACAGTCTGTTCTTGCAGAGAACCCAAGTTGAATTCCCAGCATCCACACTCCAGTTCCAGGGGATCCGATGCCCTCTTCTGACCTCTATGGGCATTGCATGACATGGGTATACTTACATGCAGGTAATACATTCATACACATATAATAAATATAATATTTTTTAAAAAGAAAAGTGTAGGGAGAGGGTGTGGGGAAAGAAAGGTATCTGGCAGTGAACACAGTGCTATGATCTGCGTGAACATGGAGTAGCTACTTCCCCTCTCTGGGCCTCCGTTTTCTGCTCTGGTCCAGTAGCTTTGGGCAATCTTGCAGTCACCATGGTGTTTTAGCACATCAAAGGCTCTGACAAGCCCCACTTCAAGGAAAGTCCCTGAATATCCTGAATGGCTTTTTTCTTAAAAATAAAAAAATTCATTGGACTGGAGAGATTGCTCAGCGATAAGGAGAACTGGCTGTTCTTTCAAGGGACTTGGGTTCAGTTCCCAGCACCTACATGGCAGATAACAACTGTCCTTAACTCCAGTTCCAGAGGGCCCAACACCCTCTTCTGGCTTCCATGGGCATTGCATGCACATGGTGCATTTATATACATGCAGGCAAAACATACATATAAAATAAAAATTTTTAAATGAAAACGTGTGTGTGTGTGTGTGTGTATGTGTGTGTGTATGTGTGTATGTTATATACGACTCTCAACCTGGCATGGTGTGCATATGGAGATCAGAAGACAACTTTAGTGGGTTCTCTCCTTTCACAGTGGGATCTAGAGATCAAACTCAGGTTGCCAACTTTGTGCAGTAAATGCTTTTATTTGCTGCCATATCATCATTGTCCAGTGTTTTTGTTGTTGGTTGGTTGGTTTGGTTTTTTTTTTCTGTTTTTTAGACAAAGTCTCATTCTGTAGCCCAGGCTGACCTGAAATTCACTATATATAGCTCACCCTGGCCTCTCAAGTCCTGGAACTATAGGTGTGAGCCACCATGCCCCAGCTCTTGAATGTTCTCTCTGCACTCCCCATGCTTCCTACCCAGGAGGCCACACCAGGTCCTCTGAGCATCCTCACTAGGGACTACTGGGAAGCTCAGGTCTGGAGGGCCATTCCCTTTCTGTGACTGAGTAAAGCAGCAGGTTTGGGGGTTAAATGGGATGGGTTCCTATGTGACAGTCTCCAAGCTCTGAGACTTCAGGCAGGCTGCTCAGCTTCTCTGAGTCTCCTGGCCTATCAAGAGGAGCTATAGATGGTCTTTGGATGAAGGAGCATAGGTCCAGTGCATGCTTGGCTGTCTACTCATAGGTAGTGTATCTCATATAAGATGCTGACATGTAGTCAGGTGTAGGGGCCCATGCCGCTAATCTCAGCACTTGGGAGGTGGAGGCAGGCAGGTCTCTGAATTCATTATGGCCAGCCTGGTCTGCATAGGGATAGTTGGTGGCATGAGGAGCTGAGGCCCCGTCCTTAGGAGACCTCTGCCTGGCAGGCCAGTGGCTAGGCTATGCAGGCAGTGGAGCTGCAGCATTTGCCCGCATGGGTATTCAGAAGGTTGAGCAGTGGTTACCTGTCCATTAGCAGTTGAGTTCCATGAAGAAGAGAAGTTGCCTAAGACATTCACAAGCATACTATGGGCTTCCTGTCACCTAAAGGGTTCCCTTGAAGGGGCTAGAAAGTATGTGGGAGTAATCGACTAGCATGCATGAAACCCTGGATCCAATCTGCAGTACTACATAAACTGGGTATCATGGCACATGCCTGTCTGTAATCCCAGGAGTTTGAGGCCAACCTGGGCTACATGAGCCCTGTCCAGAAAAAAAAAGAAAAAAAAAAAAAAAAGATTTCCCCTGAGGCTGTGGTGTGGCAGTAGCTGAGTAAAGAGATCCCCTCAGGTCCCATTAGACCCTATAGCTAGATCCAGAGATCAGAGGTGTCCCAGATGTCCTCTAAGGATGGCCAGTGTTGTTTTGAGCAGGGGGGCTTGCATGCGCCTTTCTGCTGGGTGGCAGGCCTGTGCTACAGCTAGAGATCCAGGATCCAGATGTGGACCTGGCATGGCCTGGCCCTCTAAGGCCCGCAGCTTAGTCAAGGACACTAACAAGTGAAATAGAACATGCCAGCACTGTGTCTGTATATAATTTCTGTGGAACTATAGCCCCACGTCGAGAACCTCAGTCCTGTGGAGGAGCTGAGCCCACCATCAGTTACCAAAAGCTTCGTGTGGGCTGTGCAGATCAGGCCCCAACAGTTGCTCTAGGGAGAGACTCAGGATAGGAAGCCCCGAGCCTTGGAATAGGAGAGCTCCAGCACCTGAGGGGGTGTGCATGTGTGAGTGACAGCAGGAACAGGGCAGGAGGTCTGCAGCTCTGAGGAAAACAGCCTGGCCCTGGGAGTGGGTGATGCAAACCAGCTCCACGTTGGCCCACCCAGAGCAGCTCTAGAGGGCAATCCTGGCCTGGGGAGCTGTTCCAGAAGGGCATTCTCCCCACTGCACCAGATGGACTGGCAGTCTGGAACCTCACAGTCACCACTCCTGGTGTAACAAAACACATGCTCCACGGTGACAAAATCTGAACATTTAAGCAAATTAAAAATGTTTATTTATATGCATTTAAAAATATCTCCCTATATAATAAAGGAAGTACATTTTCATCTAACACTTTTCTTAAATCAGCACACATTTCCATTTCACTTTTGGCTTGTTGGGAGACCAGGAGTCAGAGAAGAAAAGGAAGGGGCTGGGAAAGAAGGGGAAGAGGGAGGACATTTAGCCTGTGGATTCCTAAGTAGCTAGGGTGCCAAGTAATGCTCAAACCCCGCCAGATGGGGATCAGGGAAACACCAAGCATGTTTGGTCACCAAACCTTTAGTTAGTTGTGTGATCACAAAATTGGGGCTTCCAGGGTAGTCCGAGAGACTCCCCAAATTACACAGGCTATTGCCACAGCCTTTGATTGCCTCCCAGGATTTGATGGTAAGACCCTATTGTTGAAGACAGGACATACTTTGTGCACAGGATTTGGAGCAACAGACCTGGGACTGACCTGGAGGCCACCTCCCCTGAAGGCTAGCTCTCATAGCTTTGGAGAGCACTATGCAAGCTGCTATGAGAGAACATCAATCGATGGTCCAACCCCAGCTTCAAGGCCTAAAAACCACATCAATGACCAGTACAGCAAACGACATTGATGCGGTAGTGGCACTTTGTTATCTTTGGGGTAATCAACAGCTGCCTAATTGGACTTAAAATCCACTCAATGGGCGGGAACTCATGTGTGGTACTGTAAACCTAGTCAAATACACATAGCTGGAGAGGTCACAGATCTTAGTGAAAACTCCAAGTAAGTTTTTGTGACCATCCCTAGACAAATGTAATTTCTTACTATGGGCAAAATATGGATCCTTAAATTCACAGACGAGTATCCCAGTCACCACCCATCAAAGAAACTTCTTTTTCAAGAGACAGAGTAATTACAGAGTTCCACAACTGGTCACACACAGAGATTGTCTTTAAATTGCTCAAGTCTAAGTGGCATGTCTAGGATACAACCTCTATACCTCTACACAGAACATAGAACAACGGATGAAGGAACAGTAATGCGTCTTTCAACTCTCATCAGTGAAGCTTCCTCAGGCAACAGAGGGCCAGGAAATGCAAAAGGTTGCAAATGGCCAAAATGCAGAGAATAAGAGTCTGTAGAGTGTGGGTCCCTGGACAGGACTCCTATGTTAAAATCCACCCACTCAGGGCTCAGGGACCGTTGCGGAACAGAGGGTAGAAAGACTGTAAAGCCATGGAGGAGGTGCATGACTATATGGAAATAGTCCTACAGGTACCTGGGACCCTTCTCATATAAACTACAGCAATGGTGTCAGCATGCACAAGATCCATGCAAACTTAAGCAGACAAAAACCAAGCACAGAACTGTGGAAATGAACAGCAGGCCCAGTCTTAGTTGAAGAGTTATTAGCAGCTGATTACTGCTGGGTGAAGAAGAGCTGATCTTAAGCTGGGTCTGGTGGCACACACTTGTAATCCCAGCACACAGGAGGCAGAGGCAGGTGGAGCTCTGTGAGTTCAAGGTCAGCCTAGTCTAAGTAGCAAGTTCCAGGCCAGCTGGAGCTACAGGGAGACCTTGTCTCAAAAAGATGAAAAAAAAAAAGAAATAATAATTATGTGGTAAATTTTAGTTGGAGTAATAGGGAATTGTTACCATGCTAACTGCATTTTATAGACTTGGCAATCACCACAAGTGGATCTAGGGACATCTGGGGACACTAACTTTACATGATAGGCCTTAACACAAATGACAGAATGTATGAACTCCAGTTGGGGGGGCTGCTATGGGAGGGTGCCAAAGGGGAAGGAGGTATAAAGATGATTTTCTGTATGAAATACACAAACATTCAATAAAATTTTTTAAAATTGGGGCTTCAGAGAATAGAGTGATTGATGTGGGTAACATCTTCCAAAATCTTAGTGTTTTGCTTTTTTTTCCCATCCAAGGCTGGTGACAGAGAAGACAGTGGCAGAGAGGTGACCAGAAAGTATAGTTTGGGTTGGGTCACATCCTATATTTCAAGTGTGGCTCTGTTCCACCCTTACTGAATGATTTCCAAAGTCCTGCCCCCTCTGAATTTCGTTTCCCCATCTGGAAAATATGGTCCCAGGTTTCTTACACACCATAGCCCCAGTGACTGTCACCAAAGCTTGGTGGTCATCCCATGATGTACTTGCTCAAGGAAGGCTAACTTCTCATCCCTGTCCCCTGGCCTCCTCAGGTGCTGCTATGAAGGGGCCAGAAAAAGCCAGCTGCCTATCCTACCCCCTGTTCCCAAGGTCCTCTGGACCTTCCGAAGGGTCTGATAGTTCCCAGTGGCAAAGGGAAGGTATGAGGGGAGGGAGGACAGGCCCTGCAATGAGCCCCAGGCCTCTGCTTCCCCCAAGACAGGGCCGATGGCACTTCAGGCTTTATTCCTAAAGCCCAGTGACTCTGTGCAATCTTGGGCATATGATATCACTCCTCTGAGGCAGTTTTCTGCCTTCTGGGCTAATCATTGGATATTGAACAGGGACATCCATCATAATGCCCACAGCAGGACTTAGGAAATGTGCCTTCTTTGCCCATATCATTGCTGCCTGAGGCCCCTAGGGACAGGGGCCACATTGGGGAGCTCTCCTGGGCCAGGAGGGCCTTGGCCAGCCAAACTTGCAGGGAGGAGCAGCTCAGAGACTGAGGAGGAGAGGGGGACCCTACAGCCAGCACAGGAACCCTGGACTCTTCTCTTCCCTCTCAAGTCCCAGGGGGCAAAGCAGACCTCGATTGTGCCAAAGGCCTCCCCCCCATGTGGACAGCAATCATTGGGCGGTGAATGTCTGAACAGGACTCCTTTAAAGAGGCGTGATTTGTCATGCCTGTGTCTGTCCCCTGGCACAATGGTTCATCCCACCAAACAAATGAACTGATCACAGAATCACTCTAGTCAGTCCTGTCTCATCCCAGCCAAAGGCTCACAGAATGGTTAGACATTCTGAGAGTTCAGCCATGGTTGGTAGTGTGTTCCACAGATGCAAAAATATCACTGAGGCCTCTAGGGGCAGGCGCCACATTGGGGAGCTCCTTCCTGGGCCAGGAGAGCCTTGGCCAGCCAAACTTGCAGGGAGGAACAGTTCCTGGGCTGAAGAGGTGGCTCAGTGGTTAAGAGCACTGGCTGCTCCTGCAGAGGACCTGGGTTCAATTCCCAGCACCCACGTGGCAGCTAACAACTGTCTGTAACTCCAGTTCCAGAGGATCCCACGCCCTCTTCTGACCTTCACAGACATTGCATGACACAGGTGAGCTTGCATACATGCAGGCAAAACACTGCATACACATAAAATAAAATAAAAATAGATCATTCCTGAGGCCATACTGCTGGTGGAGAGGAATCTAGTGCTAACCCTATATCACAAGCCACCACATGGTGACATTTGCCTGTTCCTTCTCCTCACCCAAACCTCCTAACTTCATTTTCATTCCAAGAGAAGCAGTGAGTGCTGGGGGGCCACTGCTATGTTAGGAAGCCCATGAAGCCTGACTCTGCCTCTGGTGTCACACACTGTATGACCTTGAGTAACTGAACTTTGTCCTTCAGTTTCCTCATCTGTAAACAGCAGTACTAACACTTGCCTCTCCAGGCTGAGAAAATAAGATGTGGCCCAAGACCACTGTAGGTGCTGGAAAAATGCTGACAGATTAGATGATTGGCTTATGAGTTACTCACAGTCAACAAACATCGAGCTCCTACTATGTGCCAGCCCCATGCTAGTTGTTTTCTGTGTTCCATCTCCCTGAATTCCTCACTCACAGCCCTGTAAAGTGACATTCTTATTCTCAATTTCCAGGTGAAGTTGCCCTGAGGGAACTTCAAGGTCACTCTGCAAAGAAGACGTGGAGCGATGTTGAGGCCCAAGTCAGTATTCTTAGTGTTCAGGAGAGCTCTGCCTGCCTTTTTCCTCACCTGACTAAGGAAAGGGCAGTCACTTGCCCAAGGTCATGCAGGAGACCTAGCTGCAGTGGAGAGTTTCTGTCGCGCACCCCCCTCCCCACCAGCTCGGGCCCCTCCAATCCGCAGCTCTGCGTGCGGGGGCGCGCACATCCCCCCGCCGCCGTCTGTCCATCACCCGGTCTGTCTGGGTGTCTCCCCAGCCTTGGGCGCTGCGCAGGGAGAGGCAGGACGTTCACTGCGCCCCACGCCCGCAGCCGCCAGACGGCAGCGCCTGCGTTCCTGCCAGCCCCAGCCGGTGCGCGGGAGCCGCGGGGGGCAAAGGCGCAGCGGCCAGCGGCCAGATCAGCGCTCGCCGCCAGGCTTTCTCGCTCTCCGCGCTGAGCGCCAGCGCCTGCCCTCCAGGATGAAGAAGCTCCGAGGAGCTCACCTAGGCAAGGTAGGGGCACGAGGGCGCGGCGCAGCTGAGCCAAAGCCAGGAGGGTCCGCGGGCTAGAGAGAAGCCCCGACCGCTCAGGGCTCGGGAGCCCGCCCCCCCTCCCCCGCAAGCTGAATTCCGGGAAGGGGTGGGGTCACGATTGCCCCCTTGCCACCTGGGGAGCGGGATGCTGGGGCCCAAGGATCCCAGGGCCTGGCCCTGCGAACAGGTGTCTGCAGCCCCAGGAGGCAGGGATCAGGTAACTGGGGCCAAATACCACATCTCCCACTCCTCAGCCTGTTCCTACAGGAGCTGACTGTCGGGTGGGGGCGCTGGAAACTGAACACCTGCTTTGAGCTGGGCTGGTGTTGGGGGTGGGGCCTAACCCTGGCCTCACCTGGGCACTCTATAGTGAAGGGTCTCTGTCAGCCTCCAGCGACCCACTTCAGTCCTTCAGACTCTGACCCTGTGGGCCCCTCTGCTGCCTCCTGGCCCCTCTTTCTAGCAGCCTTCCCTTTCCTACCTTGACCCTTCCAACCCCTGCAGGACACCCTCAGCCTGTCCTTCCTCAGGGATAAAGGAAGGCAAGTGTAGGGGGTGGGAAACTGAAGGATGGGAGATGAGGTATTAACAGGAGAGGGATACTGAAGCAGACCTCAATCTCCCCACCTTGCCAGGTGTGACTTCCCAAATGAGTTGTTTGTGTGTGCTGAGGATAGGCTGGGGGGAGTACTGGGAGGAAGTTTTTTATGGCTTCGGGCTTAAAAGTACCAGCCTAACCAAGGGAAGAGGACTCCTGGGTACTGTCTCTGAAGCTGCCACTTGCCTGATGACTGGTCAGGCCCGTTTTCCCCAGTGTGGAGACAGCAACCCTGTCCCCACTGGGCTGTGTGCAGTATGGGACTGCTGTGAGCTGGAAGGGGGAGGTACATGTGAGAAGACTTCACAGGGGCTACACACACACACACACACACACACACACACTCCCTCATTCAAGGGGCACACACATACACTCCCCCATTCAAGCCCTTGTGCTGCTGAGCATGGAACCACTGGGGTAATTGGGTCTTTCTATGGGCTGGCAAGAGTCACTTCTTGAAGCCATTTGTGTGTTCTTGGTTTTGTCCCCATTTTTTCTGTGTTGTCTCTCTGTTCTTTGCTCACCCTTCCCACAGAGCTCTTTCCCTTCTCTGTCGTCACAGCACACATGGTGGAAATGACCATGCAGCAGGAAGCTCTTGCTGGGTGTTCCCCAGGAGAGTCACCAGTCTCCTCTCCTTTAGCCCTCCACTAGGCCCCACTATCCCCCTTTTATAGATGAGGCAACTGAGGCACAGGGCCGTACTTCCTGGTTTCCCTGGAGGCAGAAGTCACCTAGGATGGACAGAGCAGTGTGGAGGCCCTCCTCTCTCAGGCCCACCTCCCCAGGTCTCAAAGAGACGCAGGCAGCAGTGAGCCCCATCTGGATGGGCTGGGGTTGGTGATCTGGTCCTAGCTGTGCTCTGCCCTTGGCTTACCATTTGACCTTGGGCTCCCCTTTCCCTTTGTGGAACTGTTTACTCATCTGCACTATTAAGTGGGACTCTAGATGCCTTATTGTCTGTCCTGAAGAAGGCAGGAGAGCCTCCTGGGCTTAGTAACACTTCCACTTCCAGTCCCCCGTCTTCTGGAACCGAGGGTGGGGACCTACATCTCTCAGTTCCCTGAATGGGAGGGAACTCCCTCCCAGGTTAAAGCTGAAAGCCAGCCAGGTAGGTTCCTACCCTGCCCCATTTACTTGGGTGTTGTCTGCTGTCTCCAACCAGCCCCATTCTCTCTGTGCCAGCCTCCTGAAAGTCACCTGATGGTGGAATTGGGGCTTCATGTGGGTGCCTGATTGGCTCAGCCTTCTGGGACCCCATTCCCTGGCCCTAGAACAGGAGCAAGCTTCCCTCTGATTGGGGGAAGTGGGGGACTATCTGGCAACATCCTGCTCTTAGAACTCTTGTTACCATGGAAACAGAGCAAGGCCGCTTTGTGAACACTGAAAGGGCAGCTTCTCTGAGGGGATCAGAGGAGCCTGATTACTGGGACCTCCTGTTAGCTAGCCTAAAAGGAGCAGGTGATTTCAGGGTGGCGCCAGGGGTCACGTCAGCTGGCTGCCACTGCTCTCCTCCTGGAGTTTGCCTGGGAGCCCAGTTTCCAGAAGGCTGGTGCTCACTGGCTAGAGGTAACCCTAGAGGAGGGGAGCAGCTCAGCTAAGCCTGGGAGTTGCTGCCACTCTCACCTCAGCGTGTTCCAGGCAACAGAGAACCACCACTCCAGCACTTGTTTGTTTCAACTCTAAAGCAGCTTTTTCATTCAGTCACCCTTACCTATAAATCATGCCAAGCTGTTCCTATCCATCACAATTGTCCAGTCACAGACAAGATCGCCATTATGGTCACACTACTGTCACGGAGTCAGCCCCACAATGGAATCTCAGCACTGCCACCAGGTCTACTGCTCAGCCCTGTCACTGCAGCACACATTTCATTCATGTGATACTCATGCTAACCTTAACTCTCTGCCGGGGATGAAGGCTAGACCTGGGTCAAGCGCTCTACAATTGAGTCATACCCAGCTCTCTTTTCAGCTTCATCCCATCAATGCTCTTGTGGCCAGTACCCAGCGAAGCCTCCTGTCACTGCCTGATTTGGGTGGAAAATCTTGGGGCAGGAAATTCATCTGGCCAGTGGCTTGGCCCTGAGTCCCTAGGGAGGCTCTTACCTCACCCTCAGCCATCATGAGTCTCTAGCAAAGGTTTATGCCTTGTTGGAACACAGAACCTGAAGGCTCCCTAACACTGTCCGCACCTACCTTATCAAAGCACATACCAGCATGCTGGCTCCTTGAGGCCATTTTCTTACATAGAATTTGGGAATAATGCATTCTTGTCTGTATTTGGAATGACACTACACATCCTGGCCCAGTAAATGACCTGACCAGTCCTACAATCAGAGAAGCATGTTTCAGTTTGTGTTAACACAGCTTTCACAAAGGTACTTTGACTCAAGAACTCTTTCACAGAATGTCTATGAAAATCCCAAAAGATATGTTTCTGGAAACACTGATCTCCCCAATCTCCTCAGTGCCCAGATGGGGAAACTGAGACTGAGAAGACTGTGGTCACACAATGTATTAGCATAGACCATGGACAAAAATCACAGTCTCCTGGCCTCCAGGTTTTCCTACAAGTATTTCTGGACAGGAAACTTGGGGGGGTGGGATGGGGCTTCCCTCCGGGGATGCGACCGTCACTGGGTGCTTGCTGATTGGTCTACTTTGCATTTCCATTCTCCTGGGCCCTAGAGGGTGAACTTCAGAGGTGACTAGGCAAAGTGGACTGCCCTCTTCTGATCCTCTCCCTTTTTCCTTGATGGAAATTGCCTCTGAATCTTAGGCAGCTCTCCTGATACCTCTGGACTTCCTTGCAGGTACCAAGCTGAGCAACTCACAAACAGGCCATCTTGCATTCTTTGGGATCCCATATGGCTGGCACTGATCACCATCTCTCAGTTCTAGCCACAGGGAAAGTACCCAGTAGCCCATTGTGGATCATGGAAAGGGATGTGTTCAGGACGGCAGGTCCCACTGTACTTTCCTCTCCTTTAATGAACAGTAAGGTGGTAACTTTTGGAGGCAGATCATTAGAAGCTACTTGACGAGCCCTAGGCAAAACCCACAGTCCTCATATCAGCTGTAGGACAGAAGTCTGATTCCTCCTGCAGGGAGCACAACATTCAGTCAGTCCTCTACTTCCTGTGCTGAGGGTACTCTGGCTGCTCCTCTATCCACGTGGATCCTCTTTTCCTGAACTCCTTCTACCTGCCCTTGGATGTGCTCCATACTGTCCGAGTGCCCAGATGGAGACAAACCTCCAATACAGTGGGTGGAGCTGTGAGCATCATGAATGCTGGGCTCCAGGCTAGGTTCTTCTACCAGTCAAGCTCTCTTGGAGCCTCAGCTTTCCTCAAGACTGGCTTGGAATGGAGTGTGGCTGAGTGCTTAGCTGAGGGTTGTTCTGAGATGAAATCAGATGGTGAGGTAGAATGTTTAGTGCTGTGACCACTAGCACGTGTTGACTGTTAGAAACATCATCACCATCACTGACAGCAGCAGCATCAAAATCGGACCATCCTTGGTCTATTCCTGTTAGCTAAGGTGAGACCCGGCAACTTCCTAAGTGCTTGAGTCACCCTGCTGGACCCTGAGGATCTCCCACCCAGGACCCCATGAGTCCAGGTGAAATCATTTGATTATCTGGACGCATGGACCATCTTCTACTCAGCCCTGTCCAGGTCTACACTCTTGGCTTGGGGTCCCACTTCCACTCTGGCCTCACCCTTTTCCCTCCTTGCTTTGGTCTCTCTTACTGGCAGCCTGTCACCCCAGACCTGCTGATGACCCCCAGCGACCAGGGTGATGTGGATCTGGATGTGGACTTTGCAGCAGACAGGGGCAACTGGACGGGCAAGCTGGACTTCTTGCTGTCTTGCATCGGCTACTGTGTGGGCCTGGGAAACGTCTGGCGGTTCCCCTACCGAGCCTACACCAATGGAGGCGGTATGGGTCTGGGGTCCTATCTGGGGTATCTGGGGTGATGGACTAAGGCTTGGGGGCTATACGATGAGCTCTGAAGTGACCTCAACCACTGTCTCCCATGTAATCTTGGGCTGCTTGTTTCTTTTCACCACCCAAGCCACTCCTCCCTCCTTATCATCCATAGGATAATACCCACATGGGCTTTTCCCTGAGGCTTTATATTTCCAGGCTCTGTGGTAGGCAGAGGGAGCTGCTCACTGCCCATATACATGGGGCAGTGCCCACTGTCAGTATTGACATGCTTTGTGTTGTCTCCTGCCCCTCCCCTCCTCCAAGGCCCTGCTCCATCTGTCATTCCATCTCTAGAATCTTCAGTGTTCCCTCTCCTGGTTCCCCCTCCTTCGGATTGCAAACACAAGATCTCACCTATCTTTCAAGTAATTCCCTTTGTCCTTGCTTCTCCATCAAGTTACCATTCTAAGCCTCATTAACAATAGAGTTGAGCACTTACCACCTACTAGGCCCTGGGCTTGCTGCCTAGTTCATGCCCTGATAACAACCCTTTTGGGTAGGCACCCGGGAAGTGCTGAGGCAGCTGGAGTCTGGAGAGGCCAAATTCCCTGTCCAAGATCACACGGGACACACCCAACCTTCCAACCCAGGGCCACATGCTCTCCAACCTCTGTATCTCCAACCTCCTCTACCAAACTTGTTAAAGAAATGTGTGTTGACAAAGAAGAATCCAAGAAACACTAGACTATGCAAAGCCCAGATGCGTTTATTTGAACACTGGGGCTGTGGGTGCACAACTAGCCTAAGACTCCCAAATTCCTCTTCCCTCTCCCTGCTTCCCTACTCTTTCTGTGTGTTGATCTTACTTTTTCTTAGACAGTCCTCTTCTCTGCAGCTGGAGTGGGGAATATAAACACACACTTCTGGAATGACTTCGTTCTGGAGGGCTTAACCACCCCAGAGTCTCCTAGAACCTCTCCCTCTGAATGCATTTATACAGAATTTCAGGGAAAGTGACTGACCTGGCCTGGGGTAGGGCTTCAGGAGGGAGGACAGAGGGTTAGGTGGTGTGACCATAGCCCTTCCAGAGCCACCTGGTGGTAGGCATCTCTCTAAAGGAGGTGGTTGTCAATGTGAGAAGACAAGGGGGGAGAGATGCCAGGCCTTTGAAACCACAGGACCCACGAAATCACAGGTGGCAGCCAGAGTATCACTCAGCAGGTGTTTCTGAAGTGTATGCTCTGAGCCCAACCATATTCTGGGCTCCCAGGCTATAGAAATGAAAACAACCCATGAGCTCCCTTGGCCTCAGTGACACACAGGCTAAGGACCCACCCACTTCCCAGGTGGATGTTAGTGGCTGCTGTCAGGAGACAGGGGTGGGCCAGTTAGCATGGGGCCTTGCAGGTGAGTTGGTCCTCCTGAACCCATCCCCACCTGTTCCCTCCCCACAGGTGCCTTCCTTGTGCCCTACTTCCTCATGTTGGCCATCTGTGGCATCCCACTCTTCTTCCTTGAGCTCTCCCTGGGCCAGTTCTCCAGCCTGGGGCCCCTAGCTGTCTGGAAAATCAGCCCCCTCTTCAAAGGTAAGACCTCAGTGGTCCTGGCCTAGGTGGATCCATGGGGAGTTGTGGTATCCATGAGCTCCCACAGGAAGGTGATGTTGCCCTTCCCTTACCCCAGGTGCAGGCGCGGCCATGCTGCTCATCGTAGGCCTAGTGGCTATCTACTACAACATGATCATCGCCTATGTCCTCTTCTACCTCTTTGCCTCCCTCACCAGCAACCTGCCCTGGGAGCACTGCGGCAACTGGTGGAACACAGAGCGCTGCCTGGAGCACAGAGGCCCCAGGGACAGCAATGGGGTGCTGCCCCTCAACCTCAGCAGCACTGTCAGCCCTAGTGAGGAGTACTGGAGGTCAGCCTGTCTGGGGTGGACAATGAGGAGGAGCAGGAGGGCGGGGCTGTACTGGGCTGTGTGCTTAGAGGTCAGAAGCTAGTTTTATTAAGGGAACAGGGAATTTTGATCCTGGCGCTTCACCTGGCCAGCTGTGTAATGTTGAATAATGTACTTGGGTTCTGTTGTTTTACTTTTAGAATCAGGACAAGGCAGAAGCTAATTGAGAAGGTGGTCATGCAGATTAGAGGAAAGAACTGCATGCAAACTGTGCAGTTTAGTCTTGGGGTTAGTGAGGGCTCAGTAAATGTCAGATGAGAGTTGAGATGGTGATGACAATAGTACTAGTGACATTTTAGAGCCTCGCTTGCATCCTGTCACCATGGGAGTGATACCCATACCCAGTTGACAGGACGCTATCCATTTAGCCATTTACTCATGTATTCATTCTTTGAATAAGCATTTATTGAGTTACTATGTCAATAGATAAAGCACTTAGCATACAGCCAGGACCTTACAGAGTAAGAAACATCTCAGGTTCATGTAAGAGCAGAGGTGAGACTAAGGGTTGCAACACAGATAAAACCGTTGTCCTAGTACCAGGCACTCGTGAACTCTAGGAATGATGGCTGTCAGGAAGACATTGTGGCTCACCAACCTATCCCAGAGCCCCAGTTTACAGCAAGAAAAACAAGGGCCAGAGGCCTGCTCAAGTAAAGCTATGTTGACACTAAGGATTCCTGATTCCCTATCCTGTTTTAGAATGTTCTAGAATAGCCTGCCCCCCGCCCCAGCTGGAGACCACTGGCTGGCTAGAGAACCTATGAGATAGCTCCTCCTTTCACTTACAAAGGGTTGCTCTCAGAGGTTCCCCCAACGGGCCCCTGTCTGAAATATTCCCTCCTCCAGCTTACGTGGCCCTGTACAGTCCACTCATCTATCCATTTCCAGACCAGTCAGAGTGTGTGCTTGCTAAAGTGTGACCCACAGGAGGGCATGAGTTTGGGTGAGCCATGCAAAGTCCAAGAATGTGACATAGTCACTGTGGCTACCAAGAGTCTCTGTGGCAACACCAAGGCTGACCACATTGGGCAGAGTATGGGCAGAGGGAAGATGGCACTACTAAGAGGGCCAAACTGGAGGGAGTTTGGTGAAGAGACTTTATAAAGAATAGAGAATGCACATGAAGAGGTGGAGCATCAGAGGCTAGCAATAGAGAGCTGTTAACACCCAAAACCAGAGGGCAAGGGAAGGGAATTTAGGGGCTTGGAAGAGGGGCTAACCAATGAGAACTGTGGCTCAGAGGAGCACAGCCAAGGCCAGGCTCCCAGATGGAGTACATGTGTGTGCATAAGTGTATGCACATGTGTGCATATGTGTGCAAATACCCAGACCCTCTGTCTCCTCCTGCTTTCTCCCTTTGGCCAAATTCACATAAAAGCCCAGGAGGACGTGAGCTGGGGTGTGGGTAGAGGCCAACCTCCTGGACTCACAGCTGGTCCAAGAAGGATGGAGCAGGATTGGAAAGCATCACGTGGAGAAAGAGATGCTGGGTCTGCAATGATGGACACGACTTTTCTCTATGCCTACGGAGCATAGCAGGGTGAGCAAAGGACTCTCAGACTGTTGTCTCCCACAGCCGCTATGTCCTGCACATTCAGGGAAGCCAGGGCATTGGCCAGCCCGGGGAGATCCGCTGGAACCTCTGCCTCTGCCTGCTGCTGGCCTGGGTCATCGTGTTCCTCTGTATCCTCAAGGGGGTGAAGTCCTCGGGCAAGGTGAGGCTTGGGACAACTGGGGGCCAAGGTGGGTGGGGAGGCAGTGATGGAGGCAGAGAGCCAGCTAAGGCTGAGAAAATGGTAGCATTCTCTCAGAGGAGGGTGTGGGAGGGGTTCTGTTGAAAAGAGCACGGGAGTGAGGAGGGACAGTGGACTCCCTGCCTGCTGGACTAGAAGTCTACCCTGGGCAAAATACAGGTTATTCAAGTTTGCATCTTTGCCCAGAGCTTGGCACTTTGAAGGGACTCAGAGACGGTTTGTGGAATGTTTGCAGATATATAGGTCAGGGCCCTTGGAGTTGCAGGTGACCTGAAACCAGATGTTACACTCAACTGGAAAGCCCAGAGTGTGTGCTTTAGACATGGCTGGGTAGGGGCTCAATGGCCACTTCCATAAATCTGCATTTTTGCTCTCTCGGTGAAGCTTTCCTCCTCACTGGCTTCCTTCACCTGCTTCCCCAGTTTGCAAATATTGTTGAACTTACCTTGTTGAATAAGGCAGGCTATGTACCTATCCCTAAACCAGTCTCTAGAACAAGGAGGGATGCTCAGCTTGGCTAGGCCTGGTTGCATGCCTAACCCTGCAGCTAGACATGGAGTGAACTCCATCTAGGGAAAGTTGAGGTGCTATTTATCTGGTGAATGAAGACTAGATGCTGGGGAGAAAAAGTCCCCAGGTGTGCACTGGAGGCGATGAAGGGGGAGAAAGGAACAAGGTGTTCCAGGACTTGGAAACCTAGGTCATTTAAAAATGAGAACTTGCCCTCTGCTGAGCAAGAGGTGCCACAGAGCTAGGAGAGAGAGGGTGGAAAACATTAGAAAGAAAGGAGGGGTTGACATAGTTACAGCCAAGGCAGATGATGCTGAGGCTTGAGGCAGGAGGAATAACTGGCTCAGGAGGGGGCCAAGGGAAGGCAGTGAGTGTTTGGAGATATCTGGTGATTTGCAGGGGCACAGGCCAGGCACAGGAGGAAGAAGAGGCTCTTATCATTCATGCTGGTGGCCTGAGCCAGGGGTGGTAGCAGAGATGAGACTGAGATGGTCTTGGGAAGCAGGACAGTGACCGTGGGCTGGTGGGGAGATGGGTGGGGCAATTCAGAAGGAAGGAGAGGAATGGTGGCTGGTTCCTGGCTCAGGACCACAGGCTAGAGGGATATATAGTGCAGCAGTTAAAGACCTGGCTCAGGACCACGAGAGGTTGGGAAAGTGAGTCTCTGGGATGAGGGTTTGCGCATGGCAGTTGTGTGGAAGGCCCCCTGCCAGTCCCCTGCTCTCTCCCAGGTGGTGTACTTCACAGCCACCTTTCCCTACCTCATCCTGCTTATGCTGCTGGTCCGAGGAGTGACCCTGCCTGGGGCCTGGAAGGGCATCCAATTCTATCTCACCCCCCAGTTCCACCACCTGTTGTCTTCCAAGGTGAGCAGGGAGCATGAAAGAAGGGCTCCAAGGAGGAGACAGAGTAGTGCCAGGGACCCCCATCAGCAGCACCATACCCAGCCCTTCCTTTGTTTATACTTTAAAATCCTATGAAGGGGCTGGAGTGATGGCTCAGCGGATAAAAACACTGTTCTTACAGAAGACCCGGGTTCGATTCCCAGCACCCACATGGCAGCTAACGACTGTCTGTAACTCTAGTTCCAGGGGATCTGACAGCCTCTTCTGGCCTCCGCGGGCATTGCACGACACAGGTGCACTTACCCACATGCAGGCAATACACACATACACATAAAATAAAAATAATAAATAAAATATTTTTTTAAATCCTATGAAGTAGGGGCTGGAGATATGGTTCAGTGCTTAAGAGCATTGACTGCTGTTGCAGAGGACCCAGGTTCAATTCCCAGCACCCACATGGCAGCTAACAACCATCTGTAACTCCAGTTCCAGGGGATCTGACACCTTCTGACCTCCAAGGACATTCCACAACACGGGTGCACTTACACACAGGCAGGCAATACACTCACACACAAAAAATAAAAATAAAATAAAATCTTTAAAAAAAAATCCTTTAAAGTAGACATTATTCTCTCCACTTGACAAAGTCCACAAGAATTAGTGATCATCTTCAGGTTCCATGACTGGGGTTCCATTTAGATCTCTCTGGCTTCAAAGCCCAGGGGGTCATTAGTAACAGATGATCACACCATGGACACAACAGCTGACACTATTGACTGATGACTGTACCTGACACTTCTCTACTATTGTAGTGATTTAGCCCTCACTGTGCCTTCCAATGAAATACATAGACACTATTCTATGTGTCTTTTTACAGATGAGGAATCTTCAGAGAGATGGCAGGGCTCGCTCAGGATACACAGAAAGCAGTAAAGATGGACTCTAGTTAAGTCTCTCTGACTCTAGGCAGGGAGTAAAGTGCTTAAATGGGCCTGTTCAACTCGAATCTTCTGGCAACTCTGCATTAGTCACACCTTCATTCAGGACTAGACCAAACTTTAGAGGCCATTTGCTAGACCCTGGTTGGGGAAACTGAGGCTCAGAAAGGGGAGGGACTTCCCTCTGTTCTGCAGTGTAAGTGCTGGAGTTGATCTGTTGAGCCTCCCCCATCTTCATCTGCCTCCTTACTTCTCTTCCCCGCTCTCTGTGCCCTCCCCATCCCTCCTCATTTGGTGCAGGTATGGATTGAAGCTGCTCTTCAAATCTTCTACTCCCTGGGAGTGGGCTTTGGGGGTCTCCTTACATTTGCCTCCTACAACACATTTCATCAGAACATCTACAGGTCAGTGTCTGAGGCTTCCCAGTGCCAGGGGCCAAAACTGAGAGGAGAATGGCTGCCCGGGAGGAGCTCATGGGTTGAGGGTGTGGCCAGCTCACATTGACCTGTGCCTGGACTCTCCTGGCAGAGATACCTTCATTGTCACTCTGGGCAATGCCATCACCAGCATCCTGGCTGGGTTCGCCATCTTCTCGGTGCTGGGCTACATGTCTCAGGAGCTAGGTGTGCCTGTGGACCAAGTGGCCAAAGCAGGTGGGCAGGGGACAGGATGCCAGGGTTTGGTGGGGTGAGAGGGGGCTGAGCCACAGGATGCATTGTCAACACAGGCTGACAAGATAGGGAATAGCTCTGTGTGTGAATGTGTGTGTATATATCCTGCACGTGTGTATATCCATGTGCAAAATGCATGGGTGTATGTTAATCTGTGCTGAAGACAAAAGAATTTCTGTGTGAGATTGTTTTGTCTTTCATGTCTTGTTTTTCTAAACAAGTCACATCCTGGGTTGAGATGCATGTGTACAAGTGAATCCAGGGTGACAGTGGTCTGTGAATCAGTGTGTCTTGTGTCAATGGGTGGGTATACAAATGTATGCTGGTAGGATTCCCTGTACAAAAGATTGCGTGCAGACCTATGTGTTCTATGTTTGGTTCCTGTGTTCATCTATGCACTATTACTGTTGTTTGCCCATCAGCTTCCATGCACTGAGCACCTGCAGTGTGCAGGCCTGAGTGCTGGGAGCTAAGAAAGTGACCAACGCTTACATTTAGTGTGTATATCTGGGCTTGGGTATGCTGAATGAGTGCACACAGGAGGGCATAGGCGGCCCTGTGTATTTGAAGGCATACAGGGCCCACTGTGTGCTCCAGGCTGCTAACTCTGCTTGTGCTGGGCCCAGGCCCTGGCTTGGCCTTTGTCGTTTACCCACAGGCCATGACTATGCTGCCTCTGTCGCCTTTCTGGTCCTTCCTCTTCTTCTTCATGCTTTTGACTCTTGGCCTGGATAGCCAGGTGAGCCTTGTCCATGGGAGTGGGCACTGGTATGGAGGGACAGAACTCTGATCCCAATCCCCCATCCAGTTTGCCTTTCTAGAGACCATAGTCACTGCAGTGACAGATGAGTTCCCATACTACCTGCGGCCCAAGAAGGCAGTGTTCTCAGGTCTTATCTGTGTGGCCATGTACCTAATGGGACTGATTCTTACCACCGATGTGAGTGACCTGCCAGGGGCACCAGACTGGGTGGGCAGGGTGGAGTGGCATCTGCCCTGACTGAGCAGTCACTGGAATGCATCCTGTCTGACCAGGCCCTGCCTTCTGAGGGAGGCACCTTGGCCTTATATTTGAGTTCTGGCTCTGTAGTATCTAAAAGACAGTTTCAAATTTCACTCTTGCTCTTGCTGAGTGACTCCAGACAAGTGACTCGCCCCTCTGTGAAACCATCTTTTCTCCTTTGTTAATGGGAGCTGCTAGCATCTCAGGCTGCTGGGAGGCTGGAAGGGACATCGTCTCTGCGAGGCTGAGCAGGCATACATCTCCTAGTCATCCCCTTGGCTGCTCCCCACTCATCTCCTGCCAGGAGAAGACCTACAGCTGAGAAGGAGACTGAGGCTGGGGGTCCAGTGCTATGCCTTGTGTTCTAGGGGGGCATGTACTGGCTGGTCCTTCTGGATGACTACAGCGCCAGCTTTGGACTCATGGTGGTGGTGATCACCACGTGCCTCGCTGTCACCCGGGTGTATGGTGAGAAGGGCTCGGGGAGGCAGGCTGACACTCCCCAGAATAGGAGAACAGGATCTGCCTGGGGCCCTGTACCAAGCATCAGGCAGGGAAGCTGGCATGGAGGAGGGGCTACATGTACCCATGGGCTCTACTATGGGGACACCCCTTCTCCTCCCCTGTGCAGGCATCCAGAGGTTCTGCCGAGACATTCACATGATGCTGGGCTTCAAGCCAGGCCTCTACTTCAGGGCTTGCTGGCTGTTCCTGTCCCCAGCCACTCTCCTGGTAACCAAGGGTAGGAGGGAAGGTGGTTGGCTGGGGCCCCAAGACCTGGTATGGGTCCCTTTGTGCATTTAGTCTGGCCAGGCTGTCCTGGCACCAGTGAGCCTTTGATAGGACAGTAGGGTGGACATGAGGACCTAGCCCACGCATCCCCCTTCAAGTCCCAGCTTTGTAAGCTGTGCTGTACCTAGCCTTACAGTTGGTTAGCAAGTGGATGGGGCTTTCTTAGGTTTTAGGGCCTTGGGAATGAGGCCTCAATGCTGTGTTGCAGATTAGTGTGGGAAGAACTGGGAGACAGGCTGTCTCAGAATTTAGGGTCTGTCAGAGCTGGGCTGTTACAGGTCTTGATATGGGGTCAGTTTGGAGCTGGCCTGTTACAGGCTTTGATATGGGGTCAGCTTATAGCTGGGCTAGCCCAGGCCTTAAAAAACCCCAGAGATGGATCGTTTCAGGTTCTGATATAGCTTAGGGCTGTGGGTGGTTCAGATCCAGACCATGCCATACCCTGGGGCCCACTTGAGGCCTGGTGATGCTGGAGTCCCCACTCTGCAGGCCTTGCTGGTATACAGCATCGTCAAGTACCAGCCCTCAGAGTACGGCAGCTATCGCTTCCCCGCCTGGGCTGAGCTTCTAGGCATCCTGATGGGTCTGCTGTCTTGCCTCATGATCCCGGCTGGCATGCTGGTTGCTGTGCTTCGAGAGGAAGGCTCACTCTGGGAGGTGAGTCTGCCTTCTTGCCCCCCCAACAACCTTCTGGACCTGTGACCCCACCATGGCCCCAGCTCTCAGGTTAGAAAACATCTGTGCCCACATCTTATTCAGGGCTTGGAAGGCTTTCTGTAGCCTGCAGAGGTCCATATGGGCTAGGTTGACTAGGGGCCAAGATCCTGATCTGGACCTTACAGTACATGGAGCCTTGGTGCTGGGGGAAGGAGGGAGACTGACCCAAAGACTACTAATGATAGCTTAAGCATCAGGACCTGAACCTGAAGACCAGAGCCAGAGAACAACGTTGAAAGACTCTAGGGGGTAGGCTATCTCCTTTTCCTATACCCAAGAGGTATAGCATGATTGTGTAAAAGAGAGCAAGCCATTTGACACAGGATCCAACAGACCTTGAAAGAGTGAGACAGGGACCCATTTTGGGCCAGGAGATGTGCTGTGTGACCACAGTGAATCCTGCCCCACTCTGAGCCTGGGCATCCTCCATGCCCAAGGCCAGCTCTTCAACTGTTGTGAATGTGGAGTCCTCTAGTGGCCAGTGGCTGTCATTGTGAATGCCACTCAAGTGAGCCTGGGGACCCTCCCCACAACACACAAAGCCATCAGACAGTGCTGGAGTCAGGTAGTCCCAGCTCAGGAGAACTGACTGTTAAGTATTTAGGAATGCTGTGAGCCAGTTGTTAAACCAGCGATACTTGAAACTGGCAATGATGAGAAATGGGCTATAAAGCAGTGTTCTGCCCCTTCCCCAGGCCTGTGTTCCAATACACTGCTGCCAAGTGTCTGCCCCATATAGCTGTCCTCCCTCTCTTGCAAATGCTCACCTGAAGAATGGCTTGGTGCTCTTTGCCATCATCAGCAGCAGCAGCAGCTACAACTCCCACCTCCACCCCAGCCACATGGCAGCCCGGGTCTGGCCATTGCAGTGCCTCCAACTGCTAGGTGACTTGGAGCTAAGCCCTTCCCTTCTCTGAACCTCAGAGCCCTACCTATGCCTCTGAGAGTGCTGCCCTTTGTTTGGAAACCAGGTGTGTATGGAGCACAGCAGAACAGGGCATCCTGGAATGCCAGGGCAGTCAGCACTTCAAGGCTCAGGCGTGCTCCCTTGAGGCTAGGGCTTCCTTCTGTCCACTGGATCAGAGTCCCAGTTCTGCTGTTTGCCAACAGCATAAATGACACTAAGCAGGTTACCTCTCTAACCTTGGTTTGTCCATCGTTAACATAAGGACAGAAATCTCTATCTATAAGGTTGCTGTGAGCAGAAAAGTGGCCCGTCAGCCTTTGGGGGTAGAAAAGTAGAGCGTTAGAAAGTTCAAGATTGGGCCATACCGTCCAGGTTCAAATCTCAGTGCCACCACTTCCCACCTATGTGACTTTAGCTAGCCTAACTGATTTCTCTGAGCTTTAATTTTCAGATACTGTCTGTGGGCATAAAGGGGAAATGAGAGTACCTCTTAGAGTGTCACTGCAGTGATTCAATAGCTCAACACCTAGCACAGAGCTAGAGAGTGCTAAGTCCTCAATTCTAGACCAAGAGTTTCCACAGAGTGGTTTTGCCCTTGGCAACATCCAGTGACATTATTGGTTGTCATGGAGGGGATGGGGACTGAGGAGTGCTGCTGTCAACTAGGGAAATAGGCCAGGCTCCTGGTAAACATCCTCTCATGTGCAGGACAGCTCGGTAGCATGCCCCTGCTAAGAGGCCAGCAGTACCCGAGCTGAGAAACAATGGTCTGGACACTCCTATGTGTCTGGAGACACAGCAAAATCCTTGCTCTTGGGAGCTTGCTTTTTTGTTTGTGTGTTTTTGTTTTTTTGAGACAGGGTCTTTGTGTAACTCCAGCTGGCTTGGAACTCACTTTGTAGACCAGGTTGGCCTCAAACTCAAGAGAGATCTGGCTGCCTCTACCTCCCAAATATTGTGATTAAAGGCGTGCACCACCACACACAGCTTTGTTTTTGTTTTGAGTCAGGGTCTCACTATGTAGCACTGACTGGTCTGTAACTTTCTATATAAACCAGGATAGCCTCAAACTCACAGATATCTGCCTGCTTCTGCCTCCTGAGTGCTAGGACTAAAGATGGGCACCACAGACACTCAGCTTGGTAGTTTGCATTTTAATGTGGGAGCCAAGCAATAAAGACACAGTAGTGGTCCATATGCTGTCTAAGAACACAAGCAGAAAGCAGGGATCAGAAACAGAGTGGTGAAACACAGTGTTTTGGCCAGAGCAGTCAGAGAGAGATGTCAGAAGGGACTTGGTGAGCTGTAGAGATCTAACAGAAGAGCATCCCCCAGGCAGGGGCACAAAGGCCCAGAGACAGGAAGGGCTGGCATGTTTGATGACAGCAAAGAGGCCCATGCCACTGGAGCAGACAGTGGGAAGAAAGGTTGGTGGGGAGCAGGGTCACATGCTGGTAACACATTTAAATAACGCTCTGAGTGCCAAGTTGCATTTGGCCCTAGGCCAAGGGTATTTCACACTCTGTACCCTTGGAACCTGTATTCAGAGGGCTTCATCATGGCCCTCCTTTCTCTCAGGGCATGGGGCTTCTGCCCCGGGCAGGACAGGCAGAGAGCCCTGGGAATGTGGCTGAGGATGAAGGGGCTCTGTAACCATAGGCTTAGTCATTGCCTTAGTCAGCTCTCTTCTTCCTGGTCACTGGGCTCTGACAGAAAAAGGTCAGAGGATGAGGCCAGCTGAAGAGTCCAGGGAGGCTAGCTGTAGCCCTGTCTCTGTTCTCTCGGGTGCCAGTTCTTTCCTAAAAGCCCCCAGCAAGTTTGGACTCAGCTTTTAGGGAAAAGGACCTAGAGTGGGATCCTGAGACTACATTTAGATACTGGGGTTTGGGGGTGCAGTTTGTGACTAGCCTCATAGTCATGACAACCGTGCTGTTTCCAGTACCAACCAGTCGCTCTCCCAGGACCTTATGATGCTTCATTATCTCAATATGGGGCTTACAGATGGTTCCTCAAGGCTACCAGCCGGAAGTGGCAGAGCAGACTCTCATTGGGCATGATCAGATCTTTGCTGGGTGCCTGACCGTGAAAAGAACTCAATGTCCACTCTCGTTGCTCTACCATAGCGGCTCCAGCAGGCCAGTCGGCCAGCCATGGACTGGGGCCCATCCCTGGAAGAAAACCGGACGGGCATGTACGTGGCCACGCTGGCTGGGAGTCAGTCACCAAAGCCACTGATGGTGCACATGCGCAAATACGGGGGCATCACCAGCTTCGAGAACACTGCCATCGAGGTGGACCGAGAGATTGCAGAGGAAGAGGAGGAGTCCATGATGTGAAGTTGGAGGCTGCCAGACAGGAGGCCCTACCTGGGCTTCACAGGCCCTTCCTGGGGGTCTGCAGGGGTGGCCATACCTGCTGGGATTCCGAAAGGTTGCCACAGCAATGCCACTCCCCAGTATGAGTTCCTCCTTGTGGTCCCTGCCTCTCCTAAGAACCTCTGTCTGGCCACACACACACACACACACACACTACAAACACTACAAACACATACCACACATACACCTCACACAGCCCACTCAAAGCTGAAATGATCCAGCATAGCCCTCACTTTTCAGAGGGGCAGGTTGAGGCCAGGGAGGGCCTGACCCAAGGTCACATGAAGAGCAGACTTGCCCCTAGACCTAAAACCAGTCAACTCCCTTTCCCTTGGGGCAGCAGGTACCTTGTTGATGTCTCTGTTCAGACAGTCTGAACAGACACTTTTCTATACAACCCAAAGTTAAACCTGGGATTCAGGGTAGCAAGAGGCTCTGGAGATTTCCAAGGCCCTGGATATAGAGGGTCAGTAAATGAATCAGGGAGAAAGAACTTTGTGGGTTCCTGTGTGGAGGCTAGGTTTCCTGGGAGAGATGGCAGCTGGGGAACGTGGGGAGGGAAAGGTTTACAGAATAGAAAGGAGAGAGGGCTTGTGGGCCAGAGCCGCACTACAAACACTACAAACACATACCACACATACACCTCACACAGCCCACTCAAAGCTGAAATGATCCAGCATAGCCCTCACTTTTCAGAGGGGCAGGTTGAGGCCAGGGAGGGCCTGACCCAAGGTCACATGAAGAGCAGACTTGCCCCTAGACCTAAAACCAGTCAACTCCCTTTCCCTTGGGGCAGCAGGTACCTTGTTGATGTCTCTGTTCAGACAGTCTGAACAGACACTTTTCTATACAACCCAAAGTTAAACCTGGGATTCAGGGTAGCAAGAGGCTCTGGAGATTTCCAAGGCCCTGGATATAGAGGGTCAGTAAATGAATCAGGGAGAAAGAACTTTGTGGGTTCCTGTGTGGAGGCTAGGTTTCCTGGGAGAGATGGCAGCTGGGGAACGTGGGGAGGGAAAGGTTTACAGAATAGAAAGGAGAGAGGGCTTGTGGGCCAGAGCCGCCCCTGGGCCAGGAGGATGCCAACCTGCCAGGGCAGAGGCCAAGAGTGATTGAAGATGGTGATGTTGGCAGGTTACAAGAGGGTTCAAGTGGGAGTGAGGAATAGCAGGGAGGGGGAGTCAGAAAGGCAGGGTGGGAGGGGATTTGCATGGTATTGCATATCACTTTAGGTCTGTGTAGAGTGAATTAGGGACAGGGTACAGGTGGGAGGGCAGGTGAGAGGTACTAGTGACTGAAGGTAGGCACTGGAGTGGGAGTGGGAAGAGAGGACCCCGTGCCTTGGCTGGCAGGAGGCCTGATGCATACCAGCCATGGGTAAGAATGAGGGCTATAGTTGGAACCCTTCTCCCCTGTCCTGGTGGCGTCCACTGTCCCAGAACTGCTGGGAACTTGGCCTTGGCTGCAAATGGCAAGGCAGTCAAGACTCAGAGATGGTCCACACAAGGACATCATGGCCTGATGCTGCAGAGCATCTGGCATGAGGGCGGGGACAGAGGGCAGAGGGCAGTTTTTGCCCTGGGTCCCTGAAAGATGGTGGGTGAAAGCATGGCCCAGCAGAACAGGGCACCTTTGTACAGTGTTGTGGCTTCTGTGCCTGCCTCTCTCCTGGTGTCTCCACAGCCCATCTGTGTTCTGCTGGTTGATTGTTAATAAATGCCAAATGAGTTCATCCTACTGACTTGACTCCTCACGGCTGAGGGCATGGTAGACAGCATTGAGCACTCTTCAGCTCCTATTGGACAGAGGAGGCTCTGTCACCTCTTCTCCTTCTCTCCTGGCTTCTGGCACTTATAATGTCTCTATGACAGGTGGCTTGGGAGTGGTGATGTCTGGGCTCCCAGAAACTGCTCAGTTCCCCATTCTGTATAAGGACAAACAGAGCCCCAGAGAAGATGAAGCTACCTAAGTGGGGAGGGCGGCAGGGCATGAATGCACATCATTCTTTCTCCCCTCCCACTTTCCCCTGGAAGGTGACTTACAGCTGAGGCTGAGCTAGAGGATCAGTCTTGGGAGGAGCTATGGTTTTCCCAAGCCACAGGCTTTCCAGGCAGAAGAACCCGGTGCACTTGTCCCCTTCTGGCAGGGCCTGGCCATATAAAATCTCCAAACCCTTCAAATGATGTGGACTAAAGGAAGGTGGCTGCTACTGGGTATTAATAAATTTCCTCTAACAAAGGGTGTGACTCTCCTACCTTTTGGTGCTCCACGTGGGAAAAAGGATTAATTTACTAACTGGGTAGATGCTACAGGACCCTTTTCCTAAGGCAGGCACCTCACAAAAAGTATATCCTTCCTTTGCTGGCAGGCCCCTGGCCTGCACCTTCTTGCCTTGCCTGTCTGGGGAGCTGGCACACACTGCTCACCTGGGGCCATGGCCTTGAGAGCCATGGCTACAGCAGGTGACCAGGGAAAAAGACAGAAGGATTCTGGAACCTAGGTCTTTCTCTTCTCCTAGATTGCAGTGTGAAACAGGAGGGCTTGGAGGGCTATGAATCACCCCAACTTAGTGGCCCCTACTTCATCTCTTGGGTCCTCCCCTGCCCACCAACTCCTCTTTTGTACCCAGGCCCTGGACTTGCAAGCTCTTGTGCTCTACTGTCTCCAGCCCAGCACGCCTTTTCTACCTCCACGCTCTTCAGCTGCCCTTCCCGGCAGGCCGCTTGTCTTCCTTTGCTTGTGCCATCTCCCAATTGCCTCCATCCAAGACCTTTTCAGATTTTTCTGACTCATGACAGACCTGGGAAGCTGACTGGGGACCAGAGAGCACAGCTGGAGGCTCCATAACAGCACGGGGTGACTCAAAGAGAACATTGCCTCTCTCCCCAAGAGGAATGTCCCCAACTTAGAATCTAGAATGTGCTGGCAGGTGGCGCCCCAGGAACCCCAGGCCCAAAGGACTTTAGGAAGGCAGGGTGAGCAACACTGTTGGCGTAGGTGGGAGAATAACTAGCAAGGGACCTTTAGTGGGTGTTGGAAGGACATAGAGGGTAGGGACATAAGAACTGGAAAAGGAAACTGTCCGCTGTATGGGGACACTGCCTCTTAGAAGGTGGCCCTGTTCACATCTCCTGGCTTAAGAACATCTGGAAATCTGGATTTGGGGCACTGGTTTCCAGCACTGTGGACTCAGGGCTGAGCAGCTAGAGGCCAATTCTTGCCCAAGGTTCCTCAGGGCTGTGTGGGAGCAAGTCCAGGCCTAGTCTGTCTACTCCTACTGGGTCATCTGCTTCTAGTCTTAGCTGATCTCTGTATCCATGCACCCCTGAACTTGGGAAGTTAGTGGGGAGTCCTGGGAGACAACATGTGGGCCTAGCTGGGGTGTGGAAAAGAGTACCCTGGGCCCTGCACTTCTGCCCCAAAACTTGTTAGAGGAAGTGTTCCCCTAGGTGCTGGGAAAGGGTGAGATGTGGTGTCCACGATCTATAGTCACTTCTAGTTTGTTCTCTGAGAATTAGTCTGGAGCAGGAGGCACAAGACTCTCTTCATCATACCAGTAGAGACAGCCATATTTCCAAGGTCAGTGTCAGCTGACATGGATGGGGGTGGGGTTGGTTACCTTAGTGACTGGCTCCTCAGTAGGCCTGGTCCACTCCTACTCTCCTCTACCACCCCTGCAAAATCATCTCTGTGCCCGAGCTTAGACTGTGCCTTCCACCCAGATCCAGCATCTTCCTAGCCACCATGGGAATGCTAGCCGATCCCCTCCATGAGACGTCCTCCACTCCCAGCCACGTGTAACTCTTGGAATCCTCTGGGAGATCTGACTCAGTCCCACATCTGGTGAGTCCAGACAGCTAAACCTCCTATTACATTCACATCCTTCTGAGACAACACATTCTATTTCTATGCAGTTGAGACTCTTGTCTCACACTCTTTGGACCCCAGAGTACTTTGGAATGAGCCAGGGCACTGTGCAGAGGGCCCAAACTGCTCAGTCACAGATATGGTCTGTCCTCAGTTCTGCCTGCCTGAGTTGTGTGATGACAGAAAGTCACCATGATTCCCTAAGCTTCCGGCTCTTTCCCTGTAAGATGTGCTAACAGTTCCTCCACAGCAATCTTAGCAGGCCTGGGGGCAAGCTGGAGAGCTCCTAGAATAGGCCTGGACACGCATCTGCTGACGGAAGAGTCCCTGCCCCCCACCAACTCCTAGACATCCTTCATCTCTACCAGCTATGCACAGTGGAGTGGCAAACTAAACAGTCTGTGGTGGCTCTGGGGAAAACCAATCAAGAGTTAAGAGAGTCACAGGCTCTTGAGAATCACACAGGCTTCTGGGTTGTGCAGATTTGGAGTCTGTGGTGTGCTGCCCACAATCATTTTTTGCGGGTGGCTCATGGAAAGTTCGGCTCCTTTAGCTCCAGGCCACTCCCTCTAGGTCCTCAATGATGCTGGTCCTGTCCTGGAAGGGCATTCAGGGCCGCCTGCCTACCACATATCCTTGGCCAGCATTTCCCTGCTCCATTTCTGCCTGACTTCCTGTTTCCCTGGACTTCAGGGACAGAGCAGCAGCCCACCCCCACTGGCCTGATCCACAGAGAAGCCTCCTTCCAGCATCCTCATCCAGGGGTGCTTTCTGTTGGGTGGAAAGAAAGCCTTTTCCCTTTAATGGGGAAGGTCAGTTCTCCTGCTGGGGGTCCACCCCTACCCTAGAAAGGCACAGCCATGCCACAGGTTCAGGGTCCCTCAGCCCTCTGATGCTGCTGTTCCCCACCTGCCTCCAAGCTGTGGGTTCCTGCCTTGTCCCCGGGCTTCCCTCCCATCCATATGTTGAGCATCTCCACAGAGCCTCCTGAGCCCCCAGTCATACCTTGCTCCTCCTTCCTTCAGTTCCTACACTTTTTCCAGAGCCAATCTGCCCTGGGATCTTGATTCATGCAGTCTGACATGGTATCAGGGATTCCTGGCAGACAGCAAATTGGTTTAGCTCATTCCCAAGTCTTTCTCAGACCCTAACGTGTCTCCAGCGTGGCCCAAAGAAGTCCTAGTTTGCTGTGACTGAGTCCGTCTCATCCCCCCCACCCCCCTACACACTGGGCAGCTTCCTTCATTCCTCTTTTATGTGTTTCCCCTCACAGAGGGCTGTACTGAGGATTGTGAATACTGAAGTAAGGGAGGTGGGGCTTGGCTAGCATTCACTAAGTGATAGGCATTGCTGTTTCAGGTTGGTGGGTTGCACTCATGGCTGAATCTTTCAGTTCAGCAACACACTTGCCAGGCTTCATGCAAGGGCAATGCCTGCTGGCTGCGTGCGTCCTGAGTGGGAATTTGCTGGCCTGCCTGCAAGGAGCACAGGGGTTTAAGGACCCTCATTTAAGCCTGTGGTAAGGTGGGTAGAGGGTAGTGTGGAAACCAACCCAGGTGTGTGGAGACTGCAGGTGTAGGCAATAGAGACAGTGCTGGAGGGAGACTAAGCGAGTCGAAGGGTGGGAGCTTCTAAGAATCCCACTCACTATTTTCTGATGCCCAGTCAGAAAAACTCAGAGCAGCAGAAGGAAGGTCCCTGAAGTAACTGGGAATCAAAAGGCTGGGGATAGTCCTTGTTCACGGTCCCAAAGCAGCCCTCTGAGTCTCACCGTCTTCCTCTCCTGCAAAGGCAAGAGGTGTGAAAACACACTGTGAACTCTAGAGTAAGATGCTTATGTGAGACAAAAACAGTTCTAATGTGACTTGGTATACTTTAAGAGTTCAAAAGCTTTCTCCTGTTATCAACTGGACCTTCCCAGAAGAGGACTGGAAACATATCTGTAACCCACTCCTGTGCTGCCACCTGCTGGCAAGTACCTTCAGTGTCATCCTAAGCAAGCTCTCAAGCCCTTCCTCACTTCCTAGGTGGCCTGGAGCTGTGAGTACAGAGCTGGAAGATCTGTGCCCTCTGTACGCCCCAGAGCAAGGCCTCTCCTGCTCTTCTGAGGCTTGGCCTGTGCTCTCACTTGAAGGTCCTCACCAATGTGCAAGGGACATACTTCTGGTAGATACCCCCTTTGGCCACCCCACACACCAGCATCAAGGACAGACCTGGAAAGCAGCTTATGCAGGGACTCTGGGGTCCCCCCACAAGGACACATTCCCTTGGCCCTATGAAATCCAGAGGTGGCGTAGGCTAACCCAACTCATCTGGTTTACCTGAGACTATCTTAATTTTAGCATCAAAAATCTCATGTCAGCACCCAGGACAGCTAGCCACGCTGCTGTGGGTAGAGGGAAGACATCATGGCTGTGTTATCACACTGTTCTAGGTCAGAGGTGGGTGATGTGGACAGTCCACAGCACCTCTCCTGCTGCTTAGGCCCACGGCCCCTCCCCGGGCCCTGGACCCACACATAATTGTAGTCAAGAGACCTGCCTCCCCTTGGCCCATTTACCATATGGTAAGCCCAGGACTTGTCTGAGGTTATGCTGAGGGAAGAGAATGGGTAGGGAGGACTTCTTCTGCCGAAACCTTCTCATTGTCCAGGGGAAACTGAGGCCTAGAAGAAGACAAACCTTGACCTGGAGGATTCTGAGAGTGATCTTAGTTCTTGCTTGCTTGTGGCAATCCATATTCAGTCCCTTGTTCTCATTAAGGGTACCTCAAATGCTGAGAGGAAGCAGACTCCATCCCTGGCTTTAAGTGTGCAGCATGTGGTCTAGACATCATCTCATAATGATTGGCTCAACCCAGAGTATATGAACCAAGTTGTTCCAATCAGAATGAAGATTGGGACTTTCATTTTGCAACAGGGGAAATCTAGAACAGAAAACATTGCCCAGGGCCCCATGCTTGACCAAGGCAGGAAGACGAGGAGTCACAGAAATATGTAGCTATTTATTGCACTGAAAACACAAGGATAAAACAGACGTCCCTTCTCCCCCCACCCCCCAAGTAGCAGAGTTTGAGCAGTGGTCATTCAAGTTCACAGCCACATATTGTAGAAGGAGGAGGAGTTGGTGGAGGAGGAGGAGGAGGGAGAAGGAGGAGAAGGAGGAGAAGGAGAAGAAGGAGAAGGAGGAGAAAGTGGAGGAGGAGGAGGAGGAGAAGGAGGAGGAGGAAGTGGAGGAGGAGGAAGAGAAGGAAGGAGGGAGAGGAGGAGGGAGAGGGGGAGGAAGAAGAGAGGAGAACAGGAAGAAAGAGGAGAAGGAGGAATGAAGAAGGGATAGGAGGAGATTCCCAATGACCTGTTTTCTACTTAGCTATTTTTTAAGATTTGTTACAATTTTGTTGTATTCTTTTGGTGTGTGTGGTTGGAAAAATAAGGCTCATATTTAATTTCATTTCAGTATTTATTTTATTTCAATGAATCACATACAATTTTTTTTTTGGTCTTTTTGAAACAGGGTCTCTCTGTAGCCCCAGCTGTCCTGGAACTCACTATGTAGACCAGGCTGGCCTTGAACTCACAGAGATCCACCTGCCTCTGCCTCCCGAGTGCTGGGATTAAAGGTGTGCACCACTACACCCAGCCCATACAATTCTTTTTTATATATTTTATTTATTATTTTTATTTGATGTGTGTGAGTGTATTGCCTGCATGTGTATAAGTACACCTACATCAGGCAATGTAGGGTGAAACAAAACTCTAAACAAAGAGAACAAAGAAACCAGCATGGGGAGCCTGGTGAGCACATTCCCCAGGAGTCTCCCTTTGAAGGGAGCCTGGAGGCCCCGGGGCAGGATTTGAGCTAAGGTGGCATAAACCCAGAGAAGCTTTCTTGTAAATGTGTTTGCATGCCAGAGCCTTGGCTTTTTTTTTTTTTTTTTTTTTTTTTTTTTTTTAAATTTAGAGGGTATTTGAGAGGAACAAGGAGCTTACCTGGTGAGGGTGGGCTCTAGGCAGTTTTTCTGCCGTTCCCCTGCCTGTTACCTCAGGGCCATGCTAGTGTCCTGAGGTTTATACTAGATGGCTACCCACCCACAGGAGTGGCCTCTGTAGTGGAGGCCTTCTCAGACTGGGGTAGGGACCTGCCTCCACTTCTTCCATGTGTGGTGAGGTACACAGTGGACAGGAGGCATGTCAACCAATGGAAGGCAGGGCATGGGCGTCCTCTGGTGGGGAACATCAAGGCCCCGAGAGGGGATAGGACTCACCCAAGGTCACACAGCAAGTCTGGTCACAGCCTAGAATTGAAGCCTGCTAACTCCCAACCACTTCCTTCCCCTGCAGTCCACTGCTGATAAGCAACAGACAGGCACCAAAGAGGGAAACCAGAAGTAAGTAGGGAGAGGATGGGGACTGGCCAGCCACACAGAAGGCCAGCCAGAAACACCCAGCAAGCTCCCGTAGGTGAGGCTGGCTTCATGTCACCATCTGTTTGATCCCCGATCAGCCTGTGTAGGAACACTAATGTAGAAACTGAGGCTTGAAGTGGGAACCAGACTTTGCTTGGTAATGGCCTCCCTCACCTTTGGCTGGGGATAGCCATGGGACAGTGAGATCGCTAGGCCTTACGAAGAACCCTGGACCTGGGGCAGACCAAGAGCCCAACCTTGGGCCTGGGTAGCAGCATCTCTGCCAAGGGCAGAGGACAATAATGGAGTAGCTTGGACAACAGAGCCACTCCTGGCCTGCACTTGTCCCTCAGTGGCAGGACTTGAGAGAAGAGCCAAACACAGTTCCCAATATGTAAGGAGAGGGACACCAGAAAGTTTTGAATTAAACATCCCTTCCATTTCCACTCCAGCTAACCCTCAGAAAGGCTGAGGAAACCAGAGCCTCCTCCAAATCCTGGACACATGACTCTTCCTCCCCTAGAACCCTCCAGAGGGGACACTGTCTCATGCTGGAAAAACAAGGCCATAAGAGGCCAAAAGCACAGAGAGGCTGCGACATAATTCTGAGTCAGACACTAAGAATACAACCTCTAGTGTTGTTATTTTTTGTCCAAAACATGTAGTTTGATTTTGCTTTTGCTGAGTGTTTTTTTTTTTTTTTTCAACATACTGCATATAAAGTCATGCAAAGAAAACAGTGCAGACAGGATCCCAGTGGACAAGCCATGGCATTCCACATCAGAACCAATCCTGGAAAGAGGGGGTGGGGAGGGAGAGAGAAGAAGAGAAAGAGAGAAGGTGGGGGTTGTCAGCCAGCCAGAGGCTCAGCATGAAATGGGAAAAGAAGTTTCTAGTACTCTGTTTTGGCCAAACATTGAGAACGTGTGCTCTCTGAAAGTTTGGGGGTGGGGGGCAGGAGTATGGCACAAAGATGTAGGGAAGAAACTTCTAGGAATCGCAGTGGAAGGACCCCAGTGTAAGAGAGAAGCTAAGTCCAGACATTTCTATCCCTATGGCCCTGTCTTGCTGTGTCTTAGTCACATTGTCCCTGGAAGGCATCTTGTGTCATCTCACCTTGGGGACCAGAATGGAGAGAGGCTATGGCTCCCTGGGACTGCGGCCACCTCAGAAAGGACCAGAAAAAATAATCTAGAAAAGAGTAAAAACTCACCCTCGCCCCTCTTCCCAACCCAACCCAGCTCTTCCTCACAAATATCTGAGAGGTCTAATTATTACATAAATATCCATTAACGCAAAATCCATTTACGAAACACACAGAAGTTTGGCTGTAAAAAGGCATGCGTCCAAGTAGAAGTGATACTTAAATGTTGCTTGCTTTGCCCCTGAAACCCAATCAGATCTCTCAGACGGATGAGGCTGGAATTCTCCAAGGACAGTGGAGGGCAGAGTAGGCAGGGTAATGCTGGAGTCAAACTTCACAGGATGGAGGCAGCAAGTGGGGGCACCTGAGGGGTGGAGCTCCCTACACCGGTTGGTCTGACCACCCTGAGGTCAGCACAGAAGGGGGAGCAGATGAGGGCAGCAGTTCAAGGCAGGGGTTCCCCCGTCGGCTCCTCTCTTACCTTCTCCCACTGGTCTGTGGGGACCCCAGAAGAAGTGTGATTGGAGAGAGGGTCCCTCGCCACACTCAGCCTCCTCAGCGCCTGGTGAATGCACAGCTGGGACCCTCTCACACACAGCCAAGGCCAGACTAGACCAACAACAGTGGGTGGAGGTTGGGGGGGTTCCTGGGGCCAGCACTCTGGGTACCCAAGCCTGAGAAAGGTCCCCACTGGCAGGAAGAAAATGAGAGTGAGAAGCGGAGGTGGGGAGAGCTGGCCATTTGATCTGATGTTGTGATGGCTTTTATGAACAAGCAGATTTTCTTGATGCCGGTACAGAGGTGACAGTGGTAGGGTGATGTAATATGGGAAGAATTCCAGCAAAATCCAAGAGAGAACCAGCAGCCACGTTCCACAAATGAAAGTGGATCTCTGCGATGCAGCAACGCAGCGACTTGGCCTGGTCCTTCAGCTGCAAGACACAATACACACGGTGGCATATGCTGTTTCTCAGGACAGCAGCCCATCAGCTTAGATATAGTTAACATGACCTCCCAGGGTTCCCGCCCTAGCTCCCCCCAGGATCCGCAGACCCAGAATCTGCTCTCTGGAGTCTTCTTACCCTCTCTGTAACCTTTCAGAGGCAGAAGGCCACAGCCCACTCCCCTGGGTGTGCCCCACCCCAGCAGGCCAGCACCCTTCATTCCCCCTAAGCTGCAGAAAGGAAGGATTCTTACTGAGGCAGGACGGACGGTGCCCCAGATCTGTGGAAGTGGACAATTTGCCATTTGCCATCCCGGCGATGCCACACACGGGTCTCCTCTGACTGGGCTGTGCGGGGAATGCCACCTGCATCCAGGTACTGCGTGATGCGGATATAGGCAATGCAGGCCGACTCATCGCCCATCAGATGGATGTGGGGATTCAGGATGGTGGTGTGCACGGGCTTGCTGTTCCTGGACCACACTGGAGGCAGGGATGGGAAAGGCTGACGAGATACAACTGGACGATCTCCTGCTTCATTCCTTCACTCTCTCAGCTCCTGGCTGCCCTCTGAAGGGAGGCACCTCTGCCTGACTCATATGTAGCAAAGGCATCTCTGGGACAGGGCTCAGCTACCTGAGAATCAGGGCCGAGCTGCTAGGCAGCAGAGGTAGTAGGGACAATGGACTTCAGACATGGGTGATGTGGAATTTTAGAACCAGTATCTTGTAGACACAAAAGTGTGGAGCCCTGATGATTTGGCAAGCCGATGGAGTTGATCTGCCTGGAGCCCAGGTCCCTATAGAGACCAGGTCAGCACTTAAATAATGGGGCTGATACAGGGATAAGATGCTAGATGACAACAGAGCCTCTGCCTCTGCATCAGGGGACAGTAGGGAATGCTGGGAACTGTGATAAATAGAGGGCACCCTGCATGCAGCTCCTCTGGGTTACCATGTAAGTAAGTGGGAGTCCCTGCTCACTAGCTCTATTGCTGATATACTGAATTATAGAAATGGGGAAATTTGAAATTTCAGAATCTTAAAACCTTCAAATTATAAGGGTTGTGTCTGGCATCATTGAGTGAGGTCATGGAGCTAGAGAAACATGTAAATCTTGTAATCATGCTGTCATGATTACACTGATTAAAGTGCCTGAAACTGGCTCCCTTGAATGATGGTAAACCCTACCACCATTATTTTCATTATCATAGTATTCTAGAAACTCTCAAGTTTTCATCAAGATGGGAAACAAAAACACAGAAAGACAATGACCCAAGTGTGGACAGAGACCATCAGGTTTTCACCCTTAACAAGAATCCTTCATCTTTCCCTAGAGTATCCCAAATATTGGCCCCAATCATGTGGACAGCCAGCTTATAATATGGAGTCTTCAATCCTTCCTAAGATACTCCAGTTTGAGAACATTTAACGATAATCTTCCTTCCTTGTCCCCAGCCTCTGATTCTGTTGTCCAGCCAAATTTGTAAGTTATCTCCTGAAAAGCATAAATTGTCTTTTTGTTTGTTTCTTTGTTTGTTTTGACACAGGGTCTCCCTGTAGACCCAGCTAACCTGGAACTCGCCGTGTAGATCAGGCTGGTCTTGAACTCACAGAGATCCACCTGCCTGTGCTGGTAATAAAGGTGTGCGCCACCATGCCAAGCATAAATTATCTTTTTTTTTTTCTTTCTGGACTACAGAAATCTCCCAGTGGCACCCATTCTCTAGTGTTATAATCATGGTATGCCCAGACTTTCGATAAACGACCAGAATCAAGAGTCTCAGACAGAAAGAATTCTGATTTCTCAGACATAGAGAATGTAGACTTTTAGTGTCATAAGCTTGGGAGTAATCTCGGAGGCCAAAGGTCATCAAAACGCCCCCTTCTTCAAAATGCAAGAGGCTTTCCTAAATATCACTGATAACAATGCCTGGGCCTGAGATGTGTCCATTAATAGGTATGGAAACAGAGTCCAGAATCTGATTTGGCCGAGTTGTGTTAATTTCTGAATGAAGCTCAGTAGAACCTAAAAGAAGTCATGGAATTAGATTTGGACAATCCAGGGCCATTCCTGAGGGATGAAGAGCTTAGCATTGGTGGGAGAGATAAGCCTCACCACTGTTGGTCAGGCCTGGGATCCCAGGATTCTATCCTAACATGTCACCTGGACAGATTAGCAGCTTTCAGGGTATCCTTCGTGGATAGGGTGGGAGACAGGACCAGGCACTGGGCAGGAAAAGGCAGGCAGAGGGGAGGTGGTTTTGCCAGGAGTGAATGATTATGCTGGGCCACACTCCTGTGGGTTCTGCCATAGAGGTGACCCTGAGTCCAGGGTCAGTGCTGAGATGGTACCTGATGCATGAGGTAGGCCAGGGGCATGGGCTTCTCTCTGTGTTTAAACCCTTGGTGAACCCAGCACCTTCAGAGTCCAGCATAGCCTGGTCTCCGCCCAACTCTGTGGAGACTATTGTAGCAGGGAACCAGTGCCCCCAGAGGACGGAGGTGTAATGACAACTCCTTGATCCTATCCATGACAGAGCCTAGGTGTCCAGAGAGCTCCCTGTCGCCCCAGCTGGCCTGGAACTTGCTATGTAGACCAGGCTGGCCTTGAATTCACAGAGATCCGCCTGCCTCTGCTTCCAAGTGCTGGGATTAAAAGCACGCATCACCACGTCTGGCTTTGGGGTCTGGTTCTTTAAGAAGACACAGCTTCTTTCACAGATTTTTTTTTTTTTTTTTGAGGCATGAGAGCACTTGGCATCTCTGTATTCCATAAAATACCCAGAAAGCCAAGAGGTGGGAGGCTAGGCATAGGCAGACAGAATGGATCCTACCAGCACAGGACAGGCTGGCATTGAGACAGAGTTGGGTCAGCCCCTGGCTGTCTGGATACATTTGGACAAGTCACTTCCCCTCCCTGGGCCTCGGTTTCCCCTTCTGAATGACAGAATTGGACTAAGTCACGGCAGGGCCACTCGTGGGGGTTTTTGTTTTGTTTTGCGTTTGTTTCTTTTTACCATATGCAAGTTCCACCTATACTCATTTCATGAAATGATTTCCCTGATTGATTACCTGTACGAATATGTTTATTTTAAAAGAAAACTTCCTGACACAATCAGCAGCACAGAATAAGCATGGAACAGTAACCTTTCCAGGGACAAAAAGAGGTCATTCTTGCTCCACGCAAGGGATCTGGACCTGAGACCTGCTGTTCTTTGAAAGAGGGAAATTAGAAAGTCAGAGAGGTGTGAAAAATAGACTAGCACTGTCTATAAGCCAGAGCATTAAAAAAGAATTGGCCAGGCTTTCTCCCTGTATGAGCCAATGTTTTACTTAGTGCCTATAAACACCTGAAATCATGTGTGTGATATGTGCCCTTCATCTGGGGGACTCTGGATATATCATCTCTGGGGTCCTTCCTCCACATCCTAATCTGTGTCCTTGACTGGGTTCCTGTCTGACCCATGGCCTGAGTAAGACGCAGATAGGCAGAAAGCTCACTAGCTCAGACCCAGCTTCAGCGTCCAGCCCACCCTGACTGCGAAGCTGTTGAGGTCTCTCCCACAGAGGAGAGGTCTAGGAAGAAGAGACATGCAGGACAGAGACCTGGACAGACAGGCAGGGCACAGCAGTGTGAACTCCCTCAGCCCTCCCTCTTTCTAAAACTGCCTACCTACAGGGGTTATGTGTCTCAAAACCCAGGAGCCATTGTGGGCCGGGAAGCTGGGAGGCCCCAGGCATCCAGATGACTGTAGGCTTTGGGTGTGGCCTAGTGAAGGCTCCCTTGCCTATAAATAGGAACAAAGGCCCTCCCTGCAACCCTCCCCGGGTAGAGAGCAGGAGAGGGCTAGGAGGCCTTGTCACGCATGTCCTTGGTCTCTGGGGACCCACCCCTTGCCCCATCCTCAGGCACAGGTGGGACGGCTGGCAGTCAATGGAGAGGGAACCAAGAAGGTACCAACCCCTGTCCACACGGGATCTTCCTCTTCGCTGGCTCCTGAGCTGCCCCTGGGGCCCTGCCCGTCACCCTGCTGTGCCATCCGGAAGGACATGGAGGGAGAGCAGACAACAGGCACCCCAGAGAGAAGGGATTGCTCACGGTTTTCAAAATAGAATCGATGGAAGTCCAGGCCCTCAACCAGGTTCCCCAGGGCCTCGGGTTCAAAGGCTGTCATTCCAGGGTCGCACATCTTCCTGGGGGAAGGAGGACAGAGGAAAGAGAGGGTTGGGGCCATGGCTTCTTGCTGCCCCCTTGGGAATACCATGCTTTCCTTGAGGGATTGACAGAAGAGGGGCTTACGCACTGTCAGGTGTGGGACAGGGCTGACTGGTGGGTGCCATATACATCAGGAAGCCCAGGTTCAGGTCTTGGCTTTGCCAATGACTGGTAATGAGATCTTATGCATGTGTGTTGAGCACATGTGTTGGGCACTCTTGAAGCAAGAGTACCGGGAATGGATATGGGAGGGTCATGCTGCGCAGTCCGCTCTTTCCTGTCCTTACTGTACCAGCAGTGACCCAAAGGGGCTTTCCCTAATTTGTCTCATGGGACATGGATTAAAGTGCCTTTTCCTTTACATAACAAGTCAGGTGTGTACCTGGAGGGGGCATTTTGTTAATTTGTAAGATTATTTATTTATTTATTTTTAATATTCTATGTGTTGTTTGTATTATTTTATGTGTATTTCCTGCATGTATGTAAGTGCACCCATGTCATGACACAATGCCCATGGAAGTCAGAAGAGTGTCGGATCCGCTAGAACTGAAGTTACAGATGGTTGTTAGCTGCCACATGGGTGCTGGGAGCAAAACCTGGGTCCTCTGCAAGAGAAGCCAGTGCTCTTAGCCACTGAGTCATCTTTCCATCCCCAAGATTTATTTTTATTTTATGTGTTTTGCTTGCATGTATGTATATGCACCATGTGTGTGCAGTGCCTGCAGATACCAGAAGAAGGTGTTAGATCCCCTAGAACTGGAGTTATAGATGGCTGTGAGCTGCCATATGGATGCAGGCAACTGAACCCAGGTCCTCTTCAACATCAGCAAGTACTTTTAACTTCTGAGCCGTCTCTCCAGCCCCTGTGTTTTGCTAATTTGAACAAAAGTGCCCTATAGCTGGAGCAACACTATTTCCTCTTCTGTAAATGATAAAAAAAAAAAAAAAAAACAACCTTAAAACACCCAGAAAGGCTACCTCACTTCTTCTCATTTCCTGATTGTGACTTTCTGGGGTCACTAGCCTGATATATCATCCCAACTTAATTCTTCTAGGGCTAAAAGTGAGACTCGTGACATGGTTCAAGAGGGAGGAATGTAGGATGTGGCAGGGGTGTGGGGGTTGCTCAGCAAAAGGAGGCTGTGTGCTTTTAGCTGACTGCCCCCTTCCAGGTGTCAGTCTTCTGGGATAACTGTCAGGTGACTGTCAAGCAGGGAAGGGAATAAATGACCTCCTCATGACCACATTTGTAGGGTCTTTCGTGGTACAGCACAGATCCCTGTGACCATAGCAAGAAAGAGAAGAACAGGAAGTGCCCCTGGACAGGCCAAACTCCCAGTCCAGGCTGAAACTGGAAATCTCTGAAGAGGAAGTCAGTCCAAGTCTTGTCTGAGCTGGACAAAGCCCTTGTAATTGACCCCATATAACTCTGTTCTCCACATAGGACCTTAAGTTCTATAGCTGGATTAAGCCACAGGTTCCAGCTATGTTCAGACTACATGGAGTTCCCAGGACCCTTCCAGCTCCAGGATCTTCCAAGGGTGGGGATCTGAGTGCCAAGTATGTGGGAGATAGAGCACCCCCCCGACACACACACACTGTAGAACCCCCAGTTAGAAGATGTCTGGGATTCCTGCCTCCTAGAGTAAAAGGACTTGAAGACCATTGGCTCCAAGTGTATTGTCCATATGGAGAAACTGAGGCTCATAGAGGTGAAGGGGCTGACTCAGGAATATACAGGGCAGATTCCAGGGCACCACAGACCCTACAGCAGGCTGAAAATATCAGAGAAATTAACAACATAGAAGTGGGAGGGAGTTCCCTCAACACCCAGAAAGGCTACCTCACTTCTTCTCATCCCCTGACTGTGACTTTCCAGGGTCACTGGCCTGATATATCATCCCAACTTAATTCTTCTAGGGTTTAAAGTGAGACTCGTGACATGGTCTGCTTCATACTTCCATGCAGCATTCTGGCACACTCTTGTACACATACCTGTGCACATTCCTTGTGCATATACTTACAAATGCGTGCATGTGTACAAGTTATGCACAAGCATATGAACATTACATGCTGGTCTCAGGTTCACACATGCACATCCCAAGCACCTTGTTCCTCCAGAGAGAGCTAGTGACTTTCCAGGCCATCTCCAAACACTGCTGTTGAATTGCTCCTTTGGTTAGAATGCACACTGCAGCTCCAGGCACAAGAACCAGGAACCAGGAACAGGCTGCCCCAAGAGCATGTCCCAGTCAGGCTATTCCTATCTCACATTAACCAAGCAGGCAAGGGTCACTCTGTCTCACTGGAAGCTTTTGCCAACCAAAAACCATGTGTGGGATTGCCAGGTTCAGACCTCATCAGCACTGGTCAAAATGTTAAAGCCTGTGCCCAGAACATCCATTCTCTCTGGGGCAGGCTGGAGACTGCTTCAGGGCCAGATAAGGAAAGGTGCAAGGGACCACCAGGGGGCGCTTGCAGCTCAGCCTGTACTCACAGGCTTCCCTCAGGGCAGGCACAGGATGTCTCAAGGCACCTGCTTTCTTCTATGCTATTTGTGTGACTGCTGCCTTGCTTCTCAGAGGCTTTAAGCTTCCGCTTTGAGGCACTCTTGCTCACTGAAGGTGCACACCTTCTGGGTCCTTTCCTGCGCCTACTCAGCTGAGGTCAGAGGCCTGCAGAGATCCAGGGTGAGGACCCAGACCCACCTGGCAGGATGGAGGAGGGCCTTCCTCTAGCCTCTCCTTCCCACACTGGGGTACAAACTGCCCCATCTTTCTTTGAGGGGACAAAGCAGCCTTACCGAGCTCCTCCTGGGATCAAGCTGGCAGAAGGAGGAGCAGGAAGCTCGGCAGAAGCCCCAGGCTGAGTGCAGATCAGAAAGCACAGGGGTTCCGTGTCATTCACAGCACATGCAGCGTGAGTGAGGAGGACCCCACGGTGAGCATCAACACCCAATCCAGGCAGGACATGCAGAATGAGCCTGGCTGACTCACGTGTAGGACTCAAAATCTCCATTGCTTATGGCTTCAATCAGCTGCTCTGTCACTTTTATAATTTCCTGTTTGCGCACTGGAAGGTAGGAGGGGACACAGAAATAACAACAGTGATAGTCATGAAGAGCAGGCACATGCCAGGCACACTCTGTTGGGACCTGACATCTTGTACAGATGATCTCACCCATCCTTTTGTTGTCCCTGAGAAAGAAAGATGTTATCCCCATTTCACAGAAGAAACTGAGGCCCAGAGGGGGAAAGAAATGAAAGTTTCCTCAGCTAGAGGAAGAGGCAGAGGCAGAGCCTCAACTGGCCACCTTGGCCCCAGAAACCATGTGGGCACGCTGACTCTAGGTCTTGCTTGAACCTAGGCATGGCCACCCACTGTGCCCCAGAGATCCCCAGGGCCAAATCTGGGCCATTAAGGAAGAACTTAGAGCATGCTCATTCCTGTGTCTGGGTGAGTTTTTGTTCAATTTGGGTGATTACAGGAGTCAGGCAAAGTTGTCTAGCGCTTTCTAGGATCAATGAATCCCTTTTTCTTCTCCCTGTCTACCACTGAAACACCACAAGAAGCTTGTTTTCTGGCAGAATTAGATGCCACCCTTCTTATTAGATGTGTGATGGTCTGAGACTCTGTATTCCCATCTGTGAAATGGGATCTATTCAAATCCAGACAGTAGTGGAAAAGGATCCAGGTTCCAATTCTAGACAGATCTTTGTCTAAACCCCAGCCCAGGTCCTTCTGAGCTATGTAGCTGAGGGCCACAAGACCAGCTGACTTGCCAGATGGAGACAACAGAGTCCCCTCAGAGTTGATCTTCAGATAGGTTGATGTGATGAGCATGATACCTTGTCAGAAGCCTGGTCCACAGCAGGTGCTCATGGTAAGCACTGCCACATCCTGAAGCCCCACCTCCAGGTTTGCCTAATCTGTTTCTCCCAGACCCCTGGCAAGTGGGCAAGACCAGTGAGCCCCAAGTACTATGAGATGGCTGATCCTCAGTAATGAAGAAATCTACAGCCTGGTGTCCTGGACCTCAGCAGAGCCTAACGGAAGTCTCCCTCAGTTTCCCCAGGGCAGGTCCTCCTTCCCTCCCCACTCTTGTTCTAGCTTCCCTTCAACCAGGCCACTCAGTAGTGCATAGGAACAATCCTTGGTAAGGGAGAGGCCATACTGGTTGGAAAGTATGCTCAGCAGGCCTCAGCACCTCCCAGTATAGAAGCCAGGAGGGCCCTGCCTCACCTCTTTCCTTGCCAGCTGCCTAAGCTACCCCTGGGCACTCACCTCAGACCCAGGGGAGATGGAATCTCAGGACATCCAGGCTGGAAGAGCTACTACAGGCCAGAAACCCAAACTCCTTTCTGAGGAAACTGAGGTCCAATGAGGGCTTATGACTGTCCGTATGACTGGAACATACAGATGCAGTCTGGCTGACAGCCCAGGGACTTTTCCATGGGACTCTGGTGCTTCAGCCCATATGATCTCACCCCACGTTCTCATAATTTTTTGTTGTTTTTGTTTTTTAATTTTATTTATGATTTTTATTTAATGTGCATGACTGTATTGCCTGCCTATGTATAAGTGCACCTGTGTAATGCCTGTGGAGATCAGAAGAGGGCGTTGGATCCCCTGGAATTGAAGTTATGTACAGTTGTTAGCCACTATGGGAGGTGCTGAGAATTGAACCGGGGTCCTCTGCAACAGCAGCCAGTGCTCTTAACCACTGAGTCAACTCTCCAGTCCCCATGATCTCATAATGTTAATTCCCATACAGCTGCTGGCGCACTGCCTGTTCCTGCACTTGATGCCAGGTCACAGAGGTTTGATAGGAGCTTCCTTGAAGTCTGGAACTGGCCTGGTCCCTCAGGCTGCAGTACTGACTAAGCCTTGGCCGGGCTTAGCCTGTGTAGTGTCAAAGCCCAGAGACAGAGCTTCACTCCCATATCACAACTCACAAATGGTAGATGAGAAAGAATAAATGACTGACTTTGGAAGGGCTGGGACTCCAGCCAGAGCCTTCAGCACTGGAACCCACTGCACTCTCCCCATATCTGTGCCTAGCACAGCCCTTGGCATATGTGCGTGCTTGGCAGTGTTGGCTCACAGTGCACTTCTCCCAGACTCTGGGTAGAATTACCTGCACTGGGAATGTCTGTCCTCAGACCTTTAGCACCACTGATCACTCTGGTCTCTTCTCTGTCTTTCTCTCTCTCTCTCTCTCTCTCTCTCTCTCTCTCTCTCGGACAGGCAACACACACATGTGGAGTGAGTGAATGAATGAGTACATGGTCCAAACCAGAGTCTGGGCTGCCTCTCTCTCTCTCTCTCTCTCTGGAATCTTGCCAGGGACAGGCAACACACACATGTGGAGTGAGTGAATGAATGAGTACATGGTCCAAACCAGAGTCTGGGCTGCCATCTTTGCCCTCTCTCTGGAATTGCCCTTCACCTGGTCACCTATGTTCCTAGTCACTTCACAGTCACTCCTGGTCAGCCCTGCCATCCATCACAGAAGCAGGGACTTAGAATGGGATAAATGGACCCTGCCAGGAGTGACCTCAGACTAGCTGATTCCCACATGTTATCAGAGGGAATGATGCAGTGAAAATCCACACATTCTGACAGGCCGTGGGAGCTGAGCCACAGTCCTTGTGTGCACTGAGACCCTCTAGCATGTCCTTCTGTCACCCTCTGCTTGGTGTCCTCCCTCCTGTGGGATGCTTCTTGCTTCCATCATAGATAATGGGGCAAAGTGGTCCAGGTCCTGGGTTCTGGAGCCAAACTCCCTAGGTAGGGATTCTGGCTCTGCCCCCTCACAGCTGCAATGGGGGGGGGGTGTCTCGGTTTCTCCTTATGCTATGGAGATATCACTTGTACCTACATTCTAGAGTTGTTCTGAGGATTAGTAGAAAGAGCTGTCACATGTACAGCCCTCATTAAGAGCACCTGCTGTTCCAGGCCCCTCATATCCACTCATTGATGTAAATGAGTGTCTGAGCTCCAGCATTCAGAACAAGGCCTGGCGTTCACTGAGAGACAGCTGTGTTCCTATCATCTGCAAACTTGGAAGTGGAAGCGTGTGTGAGCCCTGCCTCAAGGCTGCAGCCAGGGCTGGATGCTTCCTGAAAGTCATACACAGGGCTCAGTTCTGCTGAGTCTCGGGCTGCAGCACTCACCACTTCTAGACAGTGCTCCCTGGGCTCATGCTCTGCCAGGTTGAAGTCTGTCTCTGAAAGTCCCTGCGTGTAGCTCTTCTTTCTCCTTCCAGAGGTGCCGAGGTAAGCACCTGTTATCCAGTCCCTCTGTTCTCCCTTGACCAGGCTTCTCTCCTCAGGAGACAGGCCTCCAGAATGTTGTTTCTAGGGCCACTGGAATCTAGCCATCTGTCCTCAAGGCTCTCTGAGTTGTCTGGACACCTCTCTGATGGTGGAATATCAGGTCTGGAGACATGCTCTATCCCTTCCCTAGTTCTGGACACTATCTCCACGAATGCAACTCCAGACTGAGACTGACTAGGCTATGCTTTTGGGCACTCCAGACATACCAAGTTTTCCAAAAGCCTAGTGAGCAGGAATATCCCTAGCTTTGTTCTTTGAGACAAAAGACCTGGGGCCCGATGCTTGGTAGACTTGGCATCTGCTCTGATAGGGGCCCTTCCCATGACTCTAGTAGCCCTCTCTGCTGTGCAATCAGCTTTGTAGCAGTTGCTCAGTAGAGACCCTCTGGCCAGACACAAAAACTGAGGCCCGAAGAGGTTAAGAACCTCTCTTACCATCACACAGTACACTGAGACCTCAGCACTGGCTGAGACCTGCATTCCTGAATGGCATTTCCCAGTGTCTGCTAGCTATGGGGGAAGCTCTCTGGCTTAGAGAGAGAATAGGTTATTCACAGAGGCAAGGACATGGGGAGCCTGGCAGAGCCACCATGGAGGACAGCTGCTATGCACAAAGCCAGAGGTACTCTGAAATACTTGTCTCCTTCCCTCTCTCCCTCTCTCCCTCCCTCTCTCCCTCCCTCCCTCCCTCCCTTCTTTCCTTCCTTCCTTCCTTCCTTCCTTCCTTCCTTCCTTCCTTCCTTCCTTCCAGGGACGTTGTTCCCCAAAAGTTATATTTCCAATCAATTAACTTTACTTTTGGGTCAGAGTCTACCCCAGTCAGCTGCTATTCTCAGAAGATGGCTTAGCAAGTTAACACCAAGAAGCAGCTGGGGTATCCAGGGAACTTTGAGCCCAAGAGGCTGAGGGAGGTACAAGGGCTCTTCTCTCTCCACACAGGGAAGTGCTTCTAGCACACATGGCCACTGGGCCTTTTGTGTATTCAGGGACTCAGAGGCAGGGAGCATGGTTCCAGATAAGCAGTTAATAGCTATGTGGTTAGTCTTGATTGTCAGCTGGATAGGACTTAGAATCACCACGGAAATACACCCTTGAGTATATCTGTGAAAGTGTTTCCAGAAAAGTTGAACTGAAGAGAGAAGACCCTGAATGTGCATTACATCATTCCATGGAGTGGGGTCCCAGGCTGACTGAAAAGGAGGAAGCGAGCTGAGCACCAGCATGCATCTCTGCTTCTTGACTGAAGATGTGATGTGACAGCTGCCTCAGACTATGACTTTCCACCATGATGGACTGTACTCTTAAACTGTGAGCCAAATGAACCCTTCCTTCCTTAAGTTGCTTTTGTCAAACCTTTTGTCACAACAATGAGAAAAGTAACTAATGCAATAACCCATATGGGCCCGTTGTCCTCACTGTAAAAGGAAAAGTGGACTAAAACCTGAGACCGTCTGCCCACTACGCCCCCTCCCCGTCCCCCCCATCCCCCCTCCCCTAAAGCAGAGAAGGCCAATGTCAAACATGGGACCTTGGGGCATAGCTGAAAGTCACCATCTAGGTGGGAAACATCACTATTTTACATTTCCAGGGCATACACATTCTGCATTCTATTCCAAATATTTCTCAGTCTGTTTAACATATAAATATTTGTCTTAAAATAGTCTTTGAGTGAAATTGATGCTCCCAGGAAATGTCATGGGGCTTCCTGACATTCAACCATGAACTCCAATTGGAAAAAGAGAAATGAAGATTTCTTTAAACAATTACCATGTGCCAAATGTTCTGTGTGTAGTTTATGTGCAGCCTGTCATTTCATCTGCACAGTACTCTCTGAAGTCAGTACTATTATCATAGCCTGTATATTATTAAGAAAACTGAGGCTCAGAGAGGCTGAGTAGGTTGTCCAAGGTCACCCAGCCAATGGAATACAGAGCCAAATCACCTCCAGTTTTTGTTTGTTCTGAGGCCAAGAAGAAGAAAATAAATCTAGTTACCTCAAAATCCCAAAGCCCATCTCTTCCCATTGGGACCAAGAGCCTCAGATATGGGGAGTATCTTAAAAGCAACTTGCCTTAGTCTGCCAGAGACCTATGGAATAGGATCTACAGAGCAGGACTGAGCATGCGATTAGGTTGGACTTGTGAGACCAAATGCTGACTGGACCTTAACAGGCAATTCTCCAAGAGAATGAATTTGCCAAGGTTGTCCCTGGGGTCATAACTCATGACAAAGCACCAATTTACTAGTGCCTAATTAGTAGTGCCCCTACTAATCTGAGAATGACCAGAATCTGGGACTGCAGACTGGGACCTTCTCCCAGGTTCCCGCTAGGTCAAGAGGGGTCATGGTATGTGAAAACTGTCTACAAGCCTAAATTGCAATTTTGCCCCAAATCATGATTTATGAAACACAACCTGTTTTTTTGTTTTGTCTTGTTTTTTGTGCTGGGGATCAAACCTAGGGGTTCCTGCATGTTAGACAAGTGCTCTACCACAAAGCCATATCCCCAGCCCCACTGTATTCTTTTCAAGGCAAAATATCTAAATTTGTAAAAAATGTCTCAACTGGTACAGCAGTTTCCTCCAGGTCAGGAGGCTTTTTCCATATTTCAGAGACCCCCAAGGTGTCTCTGGTCTCCTCCCCAGTACACAGACCCATGTGTGTTGACCCTTGAGTAGTGCTAGTCTTCCTGGCCTGGGAAATAGAAAGGGCACCTGTGTGGGTGGAACTACAGGACTTTGCTTACCATCAAGGATCTGCGTCTTCTGCACAAAATCTTCACTCTTACCCCTTCCTTCGAACTCACATATACCTTCCCTAAGGTTTCAAGTCATGGCCACTAGCTCGGGTTCAAATCCCTCCCTACCTTGGGCCAATTTCCCCAAACTCTGTTGGTATCCTCTGTCATCAAAGGATGACCTATGAGATTTGGGAAGTTCTAGTCAGTCTTTCACTTATCATCTACAAACTTCATGATCAAGAAGTATGCAACTGAGTCACAATTTTTTTTAAATCCTCATGGTTTTTTGTTTTTTGTCTTTTTGAGACAGGGTCTCCCTGTAGCCCCAGCTGACCTGGAACTCACTTTGTAGACCAGGCTGACCTCAAACTCACAAAGATCTGCTTGTTTCTCCCTCCCAAGTACTGGTATTAAAGGCATGTGCCACCACACCCAGCAAGAACCCTCATGTTTTAAGTAAGTTTATGATTTTGTGTTGGCTACATTCATAGCTGTCCTTGGTCACGTGTGGCGTACAGACTGAAGGGTGGACACGCCTGCATGTGGTCCAGATGGACAATGGACTTAGTGAGTGTCCAAGAATCAAAGGTGGCCCTTCTTGCCACTTTGTCCTAGGACTCCTGATCACAGAGCTCTGTTCCCTCATCCTTCTCACAGGTTTCGTTTTGCTTTATTTGAGACAAGGTCTCACTCCGTAGTCCAGGCTGGCCCCAAGCTTGTGATCTTCCTGCCTCGGCCTTTTGTGTGCTGCATTACAAATATGTGCCACTTATTTGAGTGTTTTTGAGAACAGTTAGGTCACGATCCACAGAACCCCTGCGTGGCTGGTCTTTGGTTTTGACTTTCCATGCCTCTGACTGAACTTGCTGGATTTTTGTTCTTTATTCCTTTACTCTTACTGCTTCATGTTTTAAAAATAAGTCAGTTAAAAAAAACTAAAATGAGTAATTTCAAAAGGAAAATTCATGCCACTACTTTATATCTACAGCATGACTATGTTAAATTTTTCTCTGATACACAAGGAAGTAAATCCATAAACTAAACTAAAAGATTTTGTTCTGTATACCCACTGTGCTGGACACAGCTTGGGGAAGCCATGCCCACAGTGTGTCCCGCTCCTTAGACGCCAAAGCCAGGCTGCCACGGCAGGAACACCACGAGGCGCTTGCTCAGCTAGCACCAGGAAGTATGGCAGCAAAGACAGGAAGCAAGTCCTCCCTACCTTTGGTGTCTTCATCCTCAATGGTGGTGTTGGTGCTCTCAGAAGATTCCTGCCAAAGAGAAGAGAGAGGTGGTGAAGAGGGCCTGCAGACAGGATGGGCTGGGCCAGGACAGCTGCCCCGCTGCCCCGCTGCTTGATGACGCTCTGGGCTTCTGAGGCTTCCAGGCTCTGTAGTTCAGATGGTCTTATAAACCTTGCCGGACCCTCAGCCTGAGGGAACCCATCTAAGCAGGCGACTGAGACAGGGCTGGCATGAAGGAGTACCTGCGAGGAGATCCCTGACCTCTCTAGAAGGGCCGAGAGGGGTTTCCTGGGTCCTTTCTGCTCGAGGGGCAAAGAAAGGTTGTGAAAAAAGCAGAGAGACGCCATGGCAGCCACAGAATACACACACTGGCAGGAAAGAAAGACAGAGAAAGGCCGGTCTAGTATAAGAAAGGGTGGGCTTTTCAGAGGGGAGAAAAACCGCACAACTGAAACAGCCATGGAACCAGAAGAAGAGGGACATGGACACCGTGTCATCCCTGGCATCCTAAGCAGAGGTGGGGCTGTGGTTCCTCTGCTGTAGCCTGCACAAGTTCAAGGGGGCTTCCATGATGCCAGCTGCTTTAGCCAAACCAAGCCCCACGCTGGTAGCAAATGGCACAAACCAAACCCTGAGATGAGCTCTAGAGCAGAGGGGTGGGAAGAAGCAAGAAGCCAGGGGCTGGAGGTGGGACTGGGCTCAAATCCACCTGTGGACCAGAGAAAGGTCTCAGATCTGCTGTTGGCCTGCTGGTCTGGGCCATGGAATTGGAGGTGTCAACAGAAACACGCAAACAACACACACACAACACACATATTGTCACACAAGGCACACGTACCAAGCATGCCCTGAACACTCTCTCCCCGCCCTGGGTTCCCATGCAGCCTGCAGGAGGGAAGCAGGAGCAAGGGGCCGAGGCCCAGCATTTACCGGCGTTTGGGAGACGGCAGACACTCACCATTAACTGAACGCTGGAACTGGACTTTCTTTTCTGGAAAAACAAGGAGAAGAGATGGGACAGGAAAAGACACAGCGTGAAAACAGCAGGGAGCAGAGAAATGACAGGGAGTTTGGAAGGAGGATGGCCTCAGGGTCATCCTCTGTGGTCCTTTCCAATAGGACAAGGAGTTAGAGCCACCAGCAACATCTGGCCTGGCAAGAACAGGCCCCTCAGCCTCAGGTTCTGGGTCTTCAAATGCCTCTGCCTGGGTCTACCAATCTAACAGCCAAGTTCAAGGCCAAGCCTTCCTTGGACCAGGGTTGTCTGCCATGCCTTACTCTGATGGGGAAGTCAGTCCTGGCACTTAGATGTTCTTTTTGGAGGACAGTCGGGTGCTCAGGCCTAGAGATGAGGCCTAGGCTCCCCATGCATCTCTGCTAAGAGGGCCCTACTCCCAAGTGTCCTGTCGTTAGGGAAACTTGTCTTTCTGGTTTTGTTCCTTATGGAACCCTGGTCCTTATAAGTGCCAGGCAAGTACTGTGCCACTGAGCTCTAGCCTCAGCTTCAAAAATATAGAGTCAGGTCCTCTCTGAGGAGTTATCTCCACTTCCAACAAAATTATCAGATGATCTTGGGGCTATCAAGTCAGGCCAGGGAGCCAATTCTCTAAATGACCTTTGGAATCCTGCTTGCACTCACAACTTCCCAGAAACTATGTTATTCAGCTCCTTTACACTGGCAGAGAAACTGAGGCACACCCAGAAGTCTAGGACCTGAGCCTGGTGGCCCTGTCAGTTGGCCTAAGCTAGCTTTTGAAGGATTGAACCATCCCTGTGTTGGCTGTAAAGCCCAGGAAGGGGTGGGGACAGTGTAGACTGCCTTCTCCTCCACTTAACTCTCAGAGCCAGGAGTCTTGAAGACATGCTCACAAAAGAGTACGGGTCCTCGATGACACTCGCACTGAGAGAGGAGAAACTGAGGCCCTGAGAAGGGTGGGGGTCTGCAAAGGTTCTCCCAGAAGGCACTGGAGTGCTGAGGGGAGACACAGGCCCCAGGGACACGGATCATTCTTCTGCCCAGGGTTCCAAGAAGACTCCCCTCAAAGGCTCACATTGTCCCGGACAGACAATGAGCTTCATCCTGCTGCCACAGAGGGAAGTGAAGGAGAGACTTAGGTCTCCCAGGTGTAGGCCTGTGCCACCAGAGGCACTGGATATGCCTTGTGAGTCTCAAGGCCAGATCCTGGGCTTCCTATTTTATAACCCAATGAGTGTCTGTGTGCCAAGGCCTAAGCCTATGCCCTCTAACCAGGGCCTCCACACACAGGGCAATATACCTCACTGGCCATTTCTCCTATGTGCTCAGGGGACATGAATGCCCACCTTCACAGATGGCTGAGCAGTGTAGCTTCATGGTCAACCACTACATCGGCTCCTCTCCTGCTCTCCTTTCCTCTCCTCTGTGATGGCCTCCCTCCCAAGCTGCAGCCTGGTCAGGCACAGTATATATAAAGAAGGGGGTCAGGCTCACACAGCTCAGCTGTCAGCAGAAACCTGAGAAACCCCACAGGGGCCAAGAGGTTCCAGGCGGGACATGAAGAAGGAACACAGAGCAGAGACTGCATCAGATTTGGACGTACAGTGACAGGATGGGACAAAGGGAGAAGTCAACGACGGCACGGATGGGACACCAACAGGGCAGTGAGTGGGGTAAGGGGTGGGAGCAGTGGGCCCCTCTTGTGGAAACCGAGGCCTATGGGTGGCCAGGGAAGGGCACTTTGTCTTGAGGATAGAGTCTATCTTCTCTCAAATCACAAAGGAGGGTGACAATTGTCCCACCTGACCAGCACTGTAGAGGGGCTGTCACCAAAAGCAGAGTTGCCTGTCTTAGAACTGCGTATGGAAGCCAGTTCTAAGCTTAGCAAGAGCAGCAGAACTGCACGGTGGTCAAGCTCAGCCCTGAAAAGCCTGTGAGGGTCCAAGAAGTATAAGAGTGAGCTCATGTTACTCCGGCCCAGCAGCCTTTCCCTAAGATACACAGCAGGCAGCACAGCCTCTCCAGTTAAGCCCCACATGGAACAGTTTGTCTCTAAGGACACAGTTTTAAGAATAGCATGGATTCTTTCTTTAGCAGGTGTGTGTCCATATGATGTGGCTCCCTGGGGCTTCTCTGGTGAGACCATCTCACCAGCTCTTATAAAGAACTTTAGTAAACATGATAAGCCCTAGAAGGAAGAGACCATGAGGTCCAGACTCGACCCCATGGCTTCTTGACCTGAGGATGCACGGCTGTCACCTCTGCCAGTCCTGATGCTCTCTCTTCATCCTCCATTCCAAGAGAGGGAAGGAGGGTGAGCCACAAAGAGGTGACTGGGGCAGGGACAGCCTTGGAGTTTCTCTTCTTCCATATCTAGGACACTTTGAGAAGCCACTCAGGATGCAGGGACATTTATTCAGCTGTGTCCACTGGAAAGCATTATGATGACCAGCAGAACCCCCATGCTTTGAGTTGTCCTTGACCTTACCCAGCCTCTACTTTCTGCCTCTTCCCAAGAGGCTTTAGCCCCAGTCCCAGCCCAAGGTGGGCTCTCCTGACCCCAAACCCAGTGGCTCAGGGCAGCCTCTCCCTGTGCTCCCTCCTATTCTGCAACATGAGCTACATACAGCCTGTGTCCTCCATACTAGGGTCAGGGAGATGGCTTCTGTAGAGAATAGTTGCCCAGCTCAGCATCTACACATTGGGGGTCCCACTCTAGACCTGGGACCCCACCATGTGGCACATCGCTCCAGCACCTTTTCAAGTTGGGAGCAAGGGTCACCTCAGAGACACTCAAACAGCAGGCCAGAGTCCACTATAGTATTTGGGGCAGATGCATATTAATTCTATGATACGCGTGTGTTGACTTTTCATTTATGGTTTCCAAATGTTTTCTTGCGTGTACTTTGTTTCATGAGAAAACAATCTAATGCATAAAACAGAAAGCATAATCCTAACTCAATTGCTTCTTATGCTTGCATACCATACAAGAACGCCGTGCACACTCTCAATGTGCTAATCCTAACAGCCAGCCAGGGAGGACGGAGCCCCTCCTCTTGGTCTGAGAGAGGAGGCACAGGCTCAGGGACTTGAGCCAGTCAAGCCTTAGCTGCCAGTAACCCACACTACCCTTTTACCCAACACGATGAGTACAGTGTGGAGTTGCTCTGTTTGAAATAGGTGTGAGAAGCCCAGGACCTTGGAAACTGCGCCCCTTTCTAGTTCTCCTCAACTTCATCTGCTGCCAGAAGGACCGCCCCAGAATCTTTGAGTTCCAAAGGTTCATTTTAAAAATCACTGATTTTTTTTCTGATAAAAAATTATGTACAGTCATGCATTGCTTAATGACAGGGACACATTCTGAGAAATGTGTCATTAGGTGATTTTTTTCACTATGCAAGCATCATATGGTGACTTTGGGCCATACGATATATCCCTATAGCTCCGAGGCACCAAACTCATACAGCATGTTACTATACCAAACACTGCAGGCATCTGTAACACATGGTAAGTGCTGTGTATCTAAACACATCTAACCATGTCTACAGTAGAGCAAGGGCCTGGGTAGTGCACACCTGTAATCCCAGCACTCTGGAATTTGGGGCAGGAAGATGAAAAGTTTGAGTTTGGCTTGGGTTGCATGGTAAGATTCTATCTCAAAGAGAGAGAGAGAGAGAGAGAGAGAGAGAGAGAGAGAGAGAGAGAGAGAGAGAGAGAGAAAAAAAAAAATATATGGGGGGGAGAAG